ATACAGCACCTTGGCTTATGGGTTGGCATATCTTACTTGAGCTATGATGACACTGCCCACCATTGACATTTCCTGGGGGTGGGGTGTACTGAGCTTCTTATGCACGAAACATAAAGGAACAGGCTGTTTCACAACAGTATTTTCATTCTTTGAAAATCAATTATTGTTCACTTCAAATGATATCTTAAGCCCCCATCAGGGTTGCTTCACATTATTTCTTACCCCTACAGCAATGTCTTGAGTTCTTTTGTGTCTTTGCTGATACAGAAAAAAAGTTCCTCACCTGGGCATCAAAATATTCTAGTTATACTGTTTGTAAGAAAGTTTGTATTATTACCTGCCTGGAAGAATACAGGTAACCTGCCTATATACTGTTGCTTTCTCTCTTTCTTACTTACTTCTGTATCTCCTCTCACCTCACTTCCCTCTGTTTCAGCTAGCTGTGAGGTGGTTGGAACACAACTGCCACTACCAGTACATGGATGAGCTCCTGCAGTACATCCGCTTTGGCTTAATGGATGTGGATACTCTCCATACAGTTGCCCTGTCCCACCCTCTTGTCCAAGCAAGTGAGACTGCAACAGCCCTTGTCAATGAGGCCCTGGAATACCACCAGAGCATCTATGCACAGCCTGTCTGGCAGACTTGCAGGACCAAACCACGGTTCCAGTCAGACACTCTGTATATCATTGGTGGGAAAAAGCGCGAGGTCTGCAAGGTCAAGGAACTTCGGTACTTCAATCCTGTTGATCAGGAAAATGCTCTCATAGCCGCCATTGCCAACTGGAGTGAGCTGGCTCCCATGCCTGTGGGACGGAGCCACCATTGTGTGGCAGTCATGGGGGACTTCCTGTTTGTGGCTGGAGGGGAAGTTGAGCATGCCAGTGGCCGGACGTGTGCTGTGAGGACTGCCTGTCGCTATGATCCCCGCAGTAATTCCTGGGCAGAGATAGCACCCATGAAAAACTGCCGGGAGCATTTTGTGCTGGGTGCCATGGAGGAATACCTCTATGCAGTTGGGGGCAGAAATGAACTGCGCCAGGTTTTGCCTACAGTTGAACGATACTGCCCCAAGAAGAACAAATGGACTTTTGTTCAGTCCTTTGACAGATCCCTTTCATGCCATGCTGGATATGTGGCTGATGGTCTTCTTTGGATATCAGGTAGAACATACCTCATGTTGGATTTATCAAAACACTCTTTCATTGTGCTATAAATTTAAAAGTCAAGCTTTAATGTGGCCATGTGTAATTGAAAGCTTGAACCAAGCATGCCATTTTAGCTAATTAACATTCATTTATTGAGCACCTACTCTAGAGAGGAATGTAATTGGAAACAATGGGCCTTTCTGTGACTTTCTGAGTGATTAATGGAATAAACATTCATGGTGGAAATTGTTGGTCCATCACAACTGCTTTTTTCTACCAAACCTTCTTCTGTCAGCTCTTGATTATTCATGGATTATATGGCACAGCTTGTGATTTATCTAGGTCCTTTGCTGCTGCTTTCACTCCTGGCTGCCTGACTAGAGCCATTTGCATCAAAGGCAAGAGAAGTAAAAGCCCAGTTAATTCATTTTTCTGGGTATAGCAATAGGTATATATTCAAGTAATCACTAGAGGGAAAGGATTTAAGTTATGAAAACAAAGTTGTTGTTTTGTTATGGTTTCAGATAGGGTCTTACTTTGTTACCCAGGCTGGAGTGCTGTGGTGCAATCTTGACTCACTGGAACCTCCACCTCTCAGGCTCAAGTGATCCTCCTACCTCAGCCTCCCAAATAGCTGGGACTACAGGAGCACACCACCACACCCAGCTAATTTTTGTATTTTTTGTAGAGACAGGGTTTCACTATGTTGCCCAAGCTGCCCCCAATCTCCTGAGCTCAAGCGATCCACCAGTTTCGGCCTCTCAAAGTGCTGGGATTATAGGCATGAGCCACTGCACCCAGCCTAAAACAATGTTTTGTTTTGTTTTTCTTTTTTCATTATCTGTGAATGGTAGGTCGTTACTTGTGCCATCATAACCCTTCATTTCTATTTATTCTCCCATTTTGACTGATTATTTGAGGATATAGTTTGAGCTGTAATTTACCTTTTTGTCTCATTTGAAAACCTTTTGATTGTGGAAAAAGTAGGGAGACTAGGACAATGAACCCCATGTACCCATAATGTAGACTCCACAGTTACTTGCTCCTTGCCCATCTTGTTTTCTCTGTACCCACAGACCCTTCACTCCCTTCCTGGTTGTCTTTTTCCTTACACAGAAGGAGTCTGTGAGGCATACGCTGTCAACATCACATTATTGACCTGTGTTTTCAATCTTATTTTTGAGAAAGGCCCTAAGTGTTCTCCTTTGAAAGGTTTTTGTATCAGGAACAAAGCTGCATTTTCTCCCAGTTGTAAGGTACTTGTATTGTAACCCAAATGGAACTTGTTGGATTTCTATCAACAAGTTCTTAGTCATCAAGCACTAAGAGGAATAGAAAGGGTCAAAACTTAAATATTAAAAATAACACTGACATTTGTACTTAGAAGAAATCATTACTTTTAAGTACACCTGCAAAGGCTTCTCAGCTTTCTTCAATAATCATCTCTAGTCTTTTAACATCTGCTCTGATAAAATTCTCCCTTACATTTGTTTAAACTAAGTTCATTTGGACTTTGACTGTTCTTCTGCTGTCCTCAGTAACCAGGAAGACAGTCACAGGCTCATCTTCTCTGAGTGGTGCCTTAATTATTGGCAATTTACCGATTTTTATTGACAGAACCTAGCTTACATCAGGGTTTAAGTGCTCAGTGAATTAATGAATGAAGTGAAGACTAAGAATAAGGAAGCAGATAGAGGAAGTGGACCCAACATTTAGTGGCTCTATACCAAAGAAACGTTAGAAACAAGTACGCATGTTAGTATATGTAGATATATTTAAAAACCTCATTTATCTAATTGTTGTTTCTTTTTCTTTAAATATATATTTCAACAGTTAATGACCACCAGAACTATATCCTTTTAGCTGTGCTGAAGAAATTTCAAGCTAGGCAGCAAATAAGTCTTTGCTAATAGAAGAAACAGATCTGTACTTGTCTTGGATAGCAAAACAATGATGGTTTATGAAATCAATGCCATTTATGTTTTCTCCCAGTTGACATTCCTCCCAAGGACTCACTTAGTTTCATATATTATTAATGTACTGTATTCCTAAATTTTGCACTGCATTTTCTAAGTTTTGTATGAATTTCTCATAAATATTTTAATAAATTTTTCTTGTCTTTTGGCTGTAAACCTAGCTTGTAAAAGAATGCTGGGGTTTCCCTTACATAGTCTTAGAGATGATGACTTAATACCTTCTTCAGTGAGGCTTTAAGAAGGCACAGAAGCTCCTCTTAGACTCGCTAGATCCCTCTTCTGGTATCAAGCTGACTTCCCTTTCAATATGAGTCTATATTAAATATATCAACTTACTACAGATCCTTATTGCCATCTCACTTTGTTTTTCTCCTACTGTGAAGGGAAATACATTTTCTTTGTTCTTCTTTTGCCCTAATATATGCTGCCTGTGTTAACCATACTTAATGAAAACAATCACAGTTTTCTCAGGTTTGTTTATCCCTATTGTGTACTTGAGATGAGAAACTCACTTTGCTGTGTACAGTACAATACCTTTAATTGGGAAGAAGAGGAAATCGCCAGTGACATTTCTAATACCTTCAGTCATCTGCCTCTTTCCTCAGGCCCAGCTTATAATAAATCAATTGTGAATCTAACCATGAATAGGGAGGGCTGACTGGATTTACAAATGGGCCCCTTAACAAAAATACAGGTGTAGTTCACCCTGCCTATCACTGAATTGGGAGTGTAAACTGATTTATTGGAGCAGATGAAAATGTTTGAGACTATTCCTTAGCCTTTACCAAATAATCACACATTTCCAATTTAATTGATGGCAATTGAATCATTGTCATCCTTCTGGTATTTTGCAAACTTTGCCTGAGGTGGAGGTAGTATTGATTATAGAAGGTGGATTTTAGAGTTTTGGTTCTGTTCTCTAGAACACAGAATGAATGTTTCTTTGGAGACTAGACATTTCCAGCAAGCTCACTCCCTCACCACACCTCTCCCCCATTTCAATCCATTTTGGGGTCAAGAAATCTTGAAATCTGTTTATAGTTTTTAAAGTATGACAAGCAGAAAGGAATCTAGAAATCATGCTGTATGTACATACCTGTTAGCATTTAATTTAAGATGTCGAATTTTACAGGCTCCTGTAGCATTTCACGTTGTGACCCAATTCACAAGTGTTCCATACCATGTTGATTTGAAATTCACAGTATCAAAGTAGAATAACCACTTAAATATCCTACAGCTGTGTTTTTAAAAATATATGCTCTCTGTTGGAAGGTATAGTTTGTGGACTACTAAAAAGAACCTTTTTTATGTGAGGGAATACTAATCCCGAGCTCATCTTCAAGAACAAGTTATTTCTTCATTTTTATCAAATGGTAGCTAAGTAAGAGGCTAACTGCAATATTAGTGCTTTAAAATTATAAAAATAAGACAAATGTTATTGCATTTACTCAAAAGCAGTATTTAGTGCTTTCCTGATTCTCTTGGTAAATGCTACATCCTTGTAAAGTATAGTGCTGAGTCACAGATAAATGAAATTAATTCAGCAAACATACTTCCTGCCCTCTAGGAGCTGACAATAAAATAATTTTTCAGATATTTCGTTAATGAAAGAACATTTGTTAACTTTAACTCCCTAGAAGCTAGGTGTATTTTCATCTTGATTAAATTTATATGAAGTTTGCATTGCCCCATTTTAAATAACTTTAATTTAGTCAAAGCTACTAACAGGACTTGGGTTTTTCTAGTATTAATTAAAATTAAAATAATGTAAAATTTTATTAACATTTAAAAATATCACTGCCTTATCTTTATATAATATTGTTTTACTTACATCTTAAGAATTGTGGACAAAGGCTGGGTGCAGTGGGTCACACCTGTAATCCCAGCACTTTGGGAGGCCGAGTCAGGTGGATCACCTGAGGTCAGGAGTTCAAGACCATCCTGGCCAGCATGATGAAACCCTGTCTCTACTAAAAATACAAAAATTAGCTGGGCATGGTGGTAGGTGCCAGTAATCCCAGCCGTTGGGTGGCTGAGACAGGAGAATTGCTTGAACCCAGGAGACGGAGGTTGCAGTGAGCCAAGACTGCACCATTGCACTCCAGCCTGGGCAAAAAGAGTGAAACTCAGTCGAAAAAAAAAATAGGAATTGTAGACAAAATGTTGGGAACTAACAGCGGGCATAGCAGAGGCTGGGTTGTGGTGCGCTGAGACCACAGATTGTGTTCACACACACACAAAATTTGTGCTGTTTATCCAGCATGAGATGCTGAGCCAAAGTTCCTAACCTCTCCAAGTCCTGTTCCGGGATAGCGCTGGAACAACAAAGTAGCATATAGTAGAGGGAACAGACTTTTAAACAGGTAGAGTGTGTGATGGTGTGACAGCAGAAGTCTTAACAAGGTACAAAGTACTGCAAAGCACGGAGTGACCATCACAGAAGGCATGAAAGGCAGCACCTAAAATAATTACACTAGCAATTAACCCTGGAGGTGCCTAACTTAGCTTCAGGCCCATTAGCTACTTTCTATTATCCATTAACTCCTCCCTGTCATCATATTGAACTTCATGGTCCAATCACTTCAATAATTCTCTTGTCCTCTGTCAAACAAGCAATGTTTGACAAAACCAGTGATCTGCTTGGTCTGTGCCTGTACCTAGGTGGCTCCGCCTGTGGGAGGAGGACAGTTAGCAGGAGGGCTTGTTATGGGTATATTCTCAGCACATCACGCACAGTGGCACTCTCAGCCCTCTCTGTACCTGACTGCTACTCACTCACCCCTTCCTTCACTGGCTGTAACTTCTCTACTTTCCTCAAAACCCCATCTTTTCAGACTCAGAGAGAAGACCTTGCCTTCAGTTTCTCAGAACAAATATAAGTGAAATAATAGGAGGAGGAGGCAGAGAGCGTGACGAGAGATGGATTAGAGATTGTCTGGAAAGGGGCCAAGGGCAGAAGTTTGGGAAGCACTAGCAAGGAGGGTGCAGGGTTAGGGGTACTAAGGAAGGAAGGAGCCTGAGACTGTGGAACGGCAGGGTCAGAGGAGGAGGAGGAGTGTCACAGAAACTAAAACCGAAGAAGGAGGTGCAGTGAGAGCTGTTCAATACCATGGGAACATCAATGTCCAGAATATTTCCACTGCATTTTGTAATTGGGAAAAGTTTAGGGAAAGCAGTTTCGGGGGTTGGAAGAAGGTGGAAACTAGAATACAGTAGTTTAAGGTATGACTGAAAAGTAAGGAAGTAGAAACCCCAGGTACAGATTACCTTGGCAAGAAGTTAGGATAAAGCCTGTCTTAGTCAATCCTCACGAACAAGTGTATAATCTAAACTTCATTCCCCGAATCTGAGCTTATCAGACAACTTTCCAATTAATAATCTGGCTTCCTGTATAAATATAGGGAGAGAATGTGCCTGTTTTTAGGCATACACATATTTTAGTTCATGTAACAGCCTCTTTTTTTTTATTATAAATTAACAAATAGCATTTTGGCTTTAGGAAGAATGAGGGAGATTAGAAAGGAAAGAAAGAAAGGGAGGAAACAGGGAGTTTGGCTGTGAAGAGTAGCTAGAGAAGGAAATCCAGAGGTGAAGGAGAGATTTTGTTTGTTTGTTTAAGGATGCAAGTGCACTAAGCAGATTTATAAATAAGGAAAGAGTGAAATTGACGTACACGTGTAGGGAAGAGGGGCATCCATTTGGCTGGTAAACCGTGAGAGCATTTCCAAGGTACCAGGAACAGTGAAGAGTCCTGAGGATACGATATTCACAACAGACATAGAGTCCTAAAAGGCAAGAAAGAGCTGGGAAGGGGTTAGGTCTTCAACATGAGAAGGGAGGGACCCTTCCAGTTCCAAGTCTGGAGGGAAGGAGATAATTGTGGGTGTGACCTAGGTAAGCTCACAGATGAGGGGCAGAAACCTGACGTTTCTTGTAGGTGGATTCAAGTGAGAAACAGGTCTGTCAAGATTGTGCCTGTCAGGTCTAGGTAGAGAGCCTGAGGAGAGTGACTTTGGAATAAGCCTCTGAGAGAAAACAGAGGGAATTAACAGGTGGAAGAAAATAGGTGTTGAGAATCCACATGAAGCTTGGAGACAAAACTGATGGCTCCATTTGCAAATTTGTCATTTTATGGTGTTCAGCAGAGGATTGGAGAAGGCAGATCTGTGGATTCACTAACGATGGAAGGTTTTGAGACTAGAACAGTCTAGAGGATCCTACTGGAAGGAGTTCAGCAATCTGGGATCCCAGGTAGGTGAGCGGGAAGGGCTCAAGGTTTGCTGGAGGGAGAACAGTGTGTCTTGCAGGAGTAAGTAGTAAGAGAATACCTCTTTGTTGTCTCTGTTGGCAGCCATGATGTGAGGAAGCCACTTGCCTGGTAGAGGTTTGGAGCTGGATAACTTGACATGTCCACTTAAAAGGTCCTAGTGAATTGAAATGTCCATGAAGAATTAAATATTTGTTGCTTCAGATCATAGCAACCAGCTGCCCCAGCAGTTACTTTTTCTTTTCACTTGTGCCCCAATCTTTTTTTTTTGAGACAGAGTTTCGCTCTTGTTGCCCAGGCTGGAGTGCAATGGCACCATCTCGGCTCACTGTAACCTCCGCCTCCTGGGTTCAGGCAATTCTCCTGCCTCAGCCTCCTGAGTAGCTGGGATTACAGGCACGCACCACCATGCCCAGCTAATTTTTTGTACTTTTAGTAGAGATGGGGTTTCACCATGTTGACCAAGATAGTCTCGATCTCTTGACCTCGTGATCCACCCTCCTTGGCCTCCCAAAGTGCTGGGATTACAGGCTTGAGCCACCGCGCCAGGCCACCCCAATCTTTTCTACCCCTCATCTGAGAGTTTAAAACAAAGCTACTACAGTTCTGAACTGAGGTAGAAGTCAAACAGAAATGTACTATGCTACAATGCTTGTTAGAGACCTAAAGGATTTAAAGAAAGCAATCAGATCACCTACATTGTCCAAATAATTAATGAAGCTTTCGTCCTAAACTGTCTTACCTGTATCTTGAAGAAGTTGCACTCTGTTTGCCCTCACATCGCTGCCCAGGAAATGAGGCTCGAAGAGGTTAAAGGACTCCTCAGATTACATAGTTTATAGTTGACAGAGTTCGAATTTGAAGTCTGTTTCTCTGGTTTTTTAAACTATGCTTTTCCCACCAAACTACACAGGTACCAGTTGTTTATCGTGACGGTGAACAAGCAATATAGACGTTTAAAGTGTAAAAAGAACTTCCAAATGACTTAAGACTGAAAGTAAATGATACACAGAAGCAGAATGCTTTCTGGAGATTTGTTTAGAATCAACAATCATTGATTGTCCTTAATTGCTTAACTGTCCATCCTTCTCAAGGGACAGAAGAGGCACATCATGTCTTTCTCTGATTTTACCATTCAGTTTCTAAAACACGAAGTTAAAATGTAAAGAGAAACAGTGATAAAATGGAGCTACTCAAATACATTGGTGTAGATTAGAAAATTGTTTCCTAAAAGGATTACGTACTACAGGAGTCTAATAGCCTTTACAATTGGTAGTGTAAGGTTTTGTTTTATGTTCAAATCACTGGTTACAGAACTCTTCTCACCGAAAGAACCGCCTTTGTTCAGAGGATTCATTTGTGTCTACCTAGATGGGTCTAATAAAAGACAGCAAACTAAATGGTGAGCTGTATTGCTCTACCAAAGAATATGTGGACTCTATCACTTGCTTCATTCCCAAGAGGAGAGAAAATGGTTAAAGCTAGGTCGTAGAAATAGGGAATGGCTGAAGAACTTGGTTGATGATGAGAGAGAGATAAAAGATCCAACAAGAGCACAGCAAAGCTGGGACATGAAAGACAGACAGAGGTGACCTTGAGAGTCTGACCCTGCTGGGAATGTGCAAAAATGTTTGGAGGCAGGATTTCAACTTTCTACAGAATGAAAAATGGGAGTTAGAGTGAATATCACTGAGTTTTTAGAGGGCAGGTCAATCTAATTGATGTCTGCATTATGGTTGATTTCACCCCCATTTTATCATTTCACTTATTTAAAACAATACATAATGCATACTTTACATATTTCTGGGTCACAAGTTTGTACCTATTTGCTCTAAATGACATAATTTGTATTTCATATGCAGCTACCCTGTCTTTATAGGTATTTTGTAAATTAGAGACTTTGGAGGTTTTGAGTATATTAATTACTCATCCATTTGTGTGGATTCCTCAAGTATGACAGAAATAATATGGATACTAGTTTTAATTTAATGCATGGATTATGTATGCTTCAAGATGCAAATTTAGTAGAAAGATTCTTGACTATAATTGTTTATGTTTATGTATTTATAAACATCCAGAAAATATGGACAGTCTAATGTCATATAAAAATAGACAATAAGTTTGGTTTTGCATTTATTATAAATATTCTTTAATTTCATATAAAAATAGATACTAAGTTTGGTTTTGCATTTATTATAAATATTCCTATGGTATTACTTTTATCAAGGGCTAATAATGAGTGTAGTTCTATCAACAGTAACTAATATTAACTCATACTTAATGCTAGGTTATTCTTTAGGTAATTAAATTGTAAGTATGAAGTTTTAGTCTTTCAAGAGTTGGAGAAAGTTACAGAAGAGAGGGGCTTAAACTATTAAAGGAAAAAGGCCTTGGACACTGAAAAAAAAGCTGGTAATTCTGGTTGTCAGAAAAAATAATTATAAGATATCTATTTCGCACTACACAATTCATGTCTTAATTCAGTATTTCACATATAGTCATTTGTATCTTTTATGGAAATGGTAAGAAATTTTTATAAGCAGCTACAGGACTGTAATAAAGTTCGCTCTGCGGATTGTCACTATGTCACGCGCTCTAGTTCATCTGAAACCTGTAGGGAAGATATCATCTTCTCTGTTTTGCATATGAGGAAGCTGAGGCTGGCTGTGTTAAATGGCTTCCCCAAGGATACAGTCATATAGGACCCATGTTAATGCCATAGCCTGTCCTGAAACTCTTCCCTTAGACTAGTGTGAACCTGGCCACTGCAGGTCTCCAAGACAGTTGCAGAGAACTTTAGATGATTTTCCTCAATCCTGAATTTGCTGGCAGAATTCCAACCTGGAGCAGGCTCCACCCTGCGTGTAGAGATCAGTTCTTGGCACCCCACTCTGTCCTGTTTGTGCATTAGCACTGCATTAGGAACCACAGGCATCTACTCGTGGAGTTTAGTGTAGGACCCTCTATTTATCAACAGAGGTGTCATTAAAAAAAAATTAGCAGAGCCATCAGACTTGACCCAGTCTAAGTACAATGAGAGCAGTTTTTCTATACACTCTTATTTCATGAGCACTGTCAGCATTGACCAGTTGTTGCTTTGGAGTAGAATATGTTTGAGAGTCAGTGATCTCAGTAGCAGAGACGAAGGTTGCTTGTTTGGCCGTCGCCTGTCATCGATCCAGTATGCACTCATCCATTTGTCACAATATTTTGTGGCGAGTTGTACAGGGAAGCTTAAGAAAAATGCTTTGCTCCTGTCTTGATGATAGAAAGCATTTCTCACTGCTGGTAGCACGGTGGTAACTTTTCATTCCTTCTGGCAGTTTTTAAAGACTTATTTGACTTTGGGGGAACCTGCAGTATATCTTTAAGTCACAGTTCAAAAGTATAAGACAGGGCTGCTCATTTTCAATTTTGGCTGAAAAGTCTTAACTTTCACTGTGGCACTTCAAAGTTAGAGAAAACTTGGTTTTAAAAATGGATGCTGATATGAGATGGCATATTTAATGACAGATGTATCTATAGAAAGCTGTTAAGATGCAGATTATCCCCCCTGGGGTGGGGGAGGGAGATCAAAACTGCCAATCTATAAAATATACTCGATAGAGGAAGGCATGGAATCTATCTTTGCAAGTGCTTTGATTGCAGGGGACAGTATAGCAGCATGTGGCATCGTAACCCAGAGCAGACAAATCAGCTTGATGACTTTCAAAGCCAGGAATACTGCTGCAGGCAAGGGTACTCCAGTCTAGGAGAAATTAAACATATAGAGACTGTTATTAATTCCATATCTATTTTTGTATAGTCAAATCTGTATGCAAATCCTTAGCATCTCATTTCAGCAGATTAATCTAAAAGTGAAGAGTGTTATGTGAAGGGAATGTAATGATAAAGCCCTGGAAATGAGGAACACTGCTAACGAAATGTGGGCTGCAAACTTGGATGCTTTTATAAAATTTATTTTAGAATCGAGAGAAAAATGGTTTTTATTTACATGCTCATTTGTAAATTATTTCAAAGGGGAAAGCAATAAAAGCAATTTCCAAGGTTTTTCTTTGCAATCCTGACTTGGCAAAAGTTGCAGCACTAGGTGTGTGAGGCACCTCCTGTGGTTTAACATTCTAAAGGCAATCTATTAATACCAAATAACTGGGACTTTAATTTTTACTCCCAGCTAGTAACCTAATATCTTATTTCTAAACATTGTCATGTGAATGAACATTTGTAAGGGTAAAGAATCTAATTACTGAGTGCAGATTAAGACAAAAATGTATTATAGATGCATTTGTGGAAGACAGTAAATAATAATTCTGAAAAGCAGGAAGATAAATTATATGCCCTGCTTGGGAGAGGGGATGTAATAGCTACATTTTAATCCATTGGTTATACGTTTAATCTATAATGGGCAGAGTCTGGTACATACAGTAAATATTTTCAAATAGTGTCATAAAGCAGATAGTTTACTACAGTAGATATTAATTCTGTCCCATATTTCTAAAACAAGCAGAGAAACTTTTGAAGTTTTTAAATGATGGGTGGAGCTTTGCCCTCTGTTCCCTTTCAATTAGAGAAGTGATTGTAGGCAAGCTGGACATTAATCTGGTGGTTATGGCCCAGATCAAAAGCACCAGCAATTATTTTAACCATGAAGACTTGTGAAGTCTCAAGAGATTAAATTATTCTTGTGTGGTTATGCTGAGAAAGAATTATTGAACACTCTGTTTCTAATCACCCAAGAAAGGGAAGGTCGGGAGTAAAAGCAAACAGAACCCTGTATTTATTTTGACACACATCTTGACTATATAGGCAGTTTAGCCTCAGCTTTCTTAAGTGTGTTTTCCTTTCCTCTGATTACATTTTTAAAATGAGACATTTGATGAGAAATCCAGAGAAGACTTTCTTTGAGGTCAGGAAGCTCATGTCTCTCTGTTCCTTGTGGATTTCTCTGTAGACAAAGCTTTTGTGGATCTTTAAAATCTTAAATCTTCAAGCTTCTGAAAGAATTTTAAAAATAGTCCTCTAGTTAATAATAGCCAAAGTCAATTATATGAAAGATATAATCTCCTTACTGGGGTTGAGTGAGAGAGTAATGATTGGCCTGGATAGGTTCCTTCCTCTTTATATATCCATTAGTTTTGATTGATTATTCCAGCGCAGTTCAGGATTAGACACTAATCCTCTGGATTCTCGTTGACTTGTCTCCTAGCCATGTGGTTGATGGTGGTGACCTATTCAAAGTATTTGAACTGTCAAAGCAAAAAATGCACCAGATAAAGTTAAATAGAGAAAGAAGACTTTGTTCAAGACTATTGCAATAGGAGAGATCAGAAAACAGTTTGAAATCAATTCCATTAAAGTTTTTAAGAGGATAGTTTTTAAGCATTGGGGTGATTTTGTAAAAAAGTACTGAAGAACATTTCACGGGAGCTTCATTAATGGATATGTTTACCTATGCAGTTATTTCTGAGTTGGCAATTTTTGTCTCTGTAATTAGGCCATCTGTGTTTGGTGCTAATTGGTGCCTATCAAAGTTACGGTCCTCGGAAGGTGGAGGTTATGGTGAGCTGAGGACTTGCCATTGCACTCCAACTTAGGCAACAAGAGCAAGACTCCATCTCAAAAAAAAAAAAAAAGTTAGGGTCCTACCTTCCCATAGAAGCTGGGATATAGGGCACTATCTTCTTCAATGATTATATTTCAAAGGGATGGCTCTCTGCACCTTAACGAAGATATTCTTAGGTTATAAAACTGGCAAGCAGCTTTTTAAAATGATTTACATCTCAAAGAGGCAGAGAAAGAAGTTATGATTACAAGTTTTCTAAAGTAAGTAATCTAAGAAAGGGGAGGTCAAGGGCCCCTTTCTTAGATTAGCAGTATAGCAGCCTTTTTAGTTTAGTCAAGCTAGGGGAATGCTAAGGCCATCTTGGTCAGTATTTTAACAGTATATGTATATTTTTTAAATTTAAAAAATTCCAGTAGGAAACTTTTTTTAATCTGGCTTAATTTTATATTTTTATTGAAAAAATAGCTGTTTGTGATACTTATTAAAATAAGAATGTTATTCATTTTATACCAGTGTCTAGAACTACATATAAGGCAATATTTCTAAAGATAGATTTCTTTGGTCCCATATCCTTGATATTTTATCTAACATTTAATATCTACTGGTGATACTTTCTTACTATGCTGTTTTATGTATTGTTTTTTAGAGTTTTTCCACTTAATGGCAAAACTGAAAGCAAAACTAGTAATTTCTGGGTTTTACAGGGCTCAGTATACACTACAAAAATGAAAAGAAGTGTAAGGACAAATAAGAGAAACTAAGCTGGAAGTGTGATGATTTTTTAGTGGTTCTTAATAGGTAGGTCTAAAGTCTCTTAGATCTAAGCAGTTGTCAAGAGGGCTCCAAAAGTTGACCACAATAGCAGCTGCACTGAAGAGCCCTAGATTTGTGCTGCCCAATGTGGTAGCCATTAGCCACATGTGGCTTACTGAATCCTTGGAAAACGGCTGATCTGTATTGGGATGTGTTGTGTCAAGTATACACTGGCTTTTGAAGACTTAGTAAGAAAAAAAGAATATAAAGTATCCTAATAATTTTTATGTTGATTTCATATTTAAATGATAATTGTGGCTATATTGGGGTATGCACAATTTATTACATTTGATGTCACTGTTTCTTTTTATGTTTTATATGGCTATTGGGAAATTTATCTTTGCATATGTGACTTGCATATATGGTCTTGTTATATTCTATTGGACAGCACTGGCTTTAGATCTTTTTTGTTAAGTAATGTCAAAAGATATCAAGATATCACTGTGTTAGTGTACAGAGGTTAGAGCTTTAAAATTAACAATTTAGTGAAGGACAAGAATTTTCCATATAACTGTCCCTGGCATAAATAGTATAGAGATTTATCCATGTGTACTATGTTCGCTCTCACTCACTCCCTAATACTTTGCCCCTCATCTGGCCATGCAAAACAGCTTGCCAGAATTGGGGTCCTCTTGGTAATGTCAGCATACTTGTTGCTTACTCTCAACTGGATTGCTTCTGAAATGTTTCTTTAAAATGAAACTGCTTCAACAATAGGCTTCTTAATTATGTCACGGGCTCACCATGAGGGTATACAAATAGATCCTCAGCAGTAGCTAATTTTCCTTTAATTGTATCTCATTCTTATGTTGGACTATCTTATTTCTTATTCATGAAAACCTCTAACACATGTTAATCCATTACAGGTGGAGTAACCAATACGGCACAATATCAGAACAGGCTAATGGTATATGAACCTAACCAGGTAAGAATCATAATAAGAAAAGCTCATTACCTTAACTAAAATGAATTTTAAAAGATTTCAGAGTAAATTAGTAATCGGAATGCCAAGTCTACACACACAGATATGCATCCTACATTTATATAGAGAAAAGGAAGCACCTGAATAAACTGCTTTTTTGTTTTGTTATTCAAAAAATTTCAACTCCTCTAGTTTTGTGATTTTAATTGTCCTATTGCTATGTCCTTCTGGAAGTGGCTGCCATTCTAGGAGGGGATCATGGTTATGATTTATTCTTAAAAAGCCAGTATTAACTTAATGTAGCCCAAATGACCTAAAACACTAGGTAGGACAAGTCTAAAGTAGAAGTATATGAAGAGTTTGAGAGATGGGAAGTGTCTGTAGAGTTTTCATCTAACAGCTAGGGCCCGAATGTGCATATTGATGGTGGCTGTACCTTCTTTTGTCTACTTCTCACTTATACCCAATGCCTGTTTTCCCCTCAAAATAAATATTTTTATTCTCCTTTCCATCTATGAAAATATGTATGAATCTTGGTGATTATCTGCTGATTATGCCATTTCTATGATTTGGGTAATGTAAATGTTTTATTATGACAGTATTCCAAAATGACTTGTAGGCTTAATACTCATCAGCTGAAGGTAATGGGATAACAACAGGTTGGCTTTGGCAGTCTGGGTTGGGACTGGCCACCAAATCTATGTCCAGAGTGGACGGAGTGTATTTGGTATCTTTTTATTTTAGCAATTACTTGATTCTGTATTTAACGAAGGCATTTTTCCCTTTGCCAGTGTGTTTCCTGATGTCAGTAGAAGCTGTAGATTTCAGAGACCAAATTTCCATGGGTCAGCTGTCTCAAGAGGGATCATTAATTGCAGTTGCTTGAGTTTGGTGCACACGTGGTTAAAGAGGAAGGTGTTAACATTTCTCAAATGAGTTCTGTTTCATGTTTGCACACACATGCTCTTTTAAAAAATTCTGCTGGCATATTGTTTACGGTGGGTACTGGCAAACATCACATCTGCTTGCATCTTGCTCAGAATCTCAATAACTCTATCTTTCAGCCCTGGTGCTTATTTCTCTTCTAGGCCTTTATGGAGAGTCGATAATGCCTGCCATCTGCCACAGAGCACATTGCTACCTGCCAACAGGCAGGCTGGGGTGACCTCTGCTTCCCCACCACTGATTAGTATTCACACGCTAGCTTATTAGGAATGACCCCACTAGGCCTCTCTGTTTCTTCGCCTTTGCAGCGGTTGGCAGCTCACCTGGCAGGCATTGCAGTGAAGGAAGCTAAAGATATAATCAGGGGATGCAGGCAGGCTTTGCAAACCAGATGGCATCCATAGTCTTGTGGCAGGGGACTGGACTGCTCATGCAAACATTGATTCCTAATACTATAATGGGTTGTCTCATAGAAAACACTTAAGAAAAGCATCATCAGAGTTTTGAGTTAAATACATTCATGTGTAATGTATTATACGTATTAGCAAATAGCTGAAAGGCAGGCTTGACTATTAAAGAAGACATTTGACTGGAAGAAAATTCTTATTACATGTTTAAATGGGGAACAGATGAATGCAAGCTTTTCAAGCTATGCAAACCACTTCTTTTCTTGAGTGTATCTTTAAAAGAGAAATTAGAAATGAGCTAGTCTATATGTCTATTAGTGAATGGACCAATATTTATATAAAATGTTTATTGTTGTCTTTTGCTTCTTCCCTTACAGATTTGTAAAATGGTGAAATTCCATATATTCAAAAACATCATATGACTTTTTCTGGCTGAAATCCAAATTTTTCTTGGCAAAAAGGAATCTGGGTTCTTCCTGTATGCTTAGTGTTTATGTAGAAAGAAAACTGTTAGGTTTTTTTACCTGTCCATTTCTGCTTTACTTACCTGTCCATTACTTAGCTGAGATTTAAAATTAAAGTCATATTTGGTCTTCATTTAGTTTTACAGAGAGCCTTATTTTAAGAAAGGCTGGGCATACCCTTCTAATTACTGAAGGTGAACTAAAACCAAATATTGAAGGTTTCACCATTCCCTAAAGTTACATAAAACTTAGTCTTCTGGCTGGTTGCAGTGGCTCACGGCTGTAATCCCAGCGTTTTGGAAGGCCGAGGTGGGTGGATCACCTGAGGTCAGGAGTTTGTGACCAGCCTGGCCAACATGGTGAAACCCCATCTCTACTAAAAATACAAAAATCAGCTGGGTGTGGTGGCACACATCTATAATTCCACCTACTCGGGAGGTTGAGGCAGGAGAATCAGCTTGAACCCAGGAGGTGGAGGTTGCCGTGAGTGGAGATTACGCCACTGCGCTCTACCTGGGAGACAGTGAGACTCCGTCTCAAAACAAAAACCAAAATACCTTAATCTTCCACCAAAACAAATAAATTTGTGCCTAGAAATAACCTTTCCCAATTCGGCAAATGATGTGATTGTTAAGATATCAAACGAAGTACGGGTAGTTTGTTGCTGAACCAAATCTTAGGTCTTCCACTGATCTTAGGAGGTTAATTTTGGAAAGAACAGGAAAGCCATTAGCTTACCTAGGGGCCTCAGGTACCCAACGATTATCATCACATAATTTTGAAAAAGTAAATATGTATTGAACATTTTTCATGTGCATTTTTCTAAGTGCTTTGCAGAATCAAACAATCACTGCACCACTGTATACAGTATACCTAGCCAGGTGCTTTCACTCTTAATGAATTTGCATGAGTAAATTCTCTGAACTGGGTTAAACATCATGAAAATTTCAATGTTCCCCTTATAAAATTCAAAATGCACTATAAAATGCAACACAAACTAGAGGAGATGCCATGTGTAAATCGCAAAGAAACAATTGGAATATGTGGCTCTTTTGTATTTGTTCTCATGTAAGCCCATACCTTTCAGTGTATATAAACAACATTCAAACAGAATGTTGATCTACTGATAAACATTAAGGTTCCCACTACGTATGAGGCACTCATTGCTGTTTTCTGACATGGAGGTCTCCTACTAACAGAATGCACTTACATTTCTTTTTTCAGAATAAGTGGATAAGCCGTAGCCCCATGCTGCAGAGAAGGGTCTACCATTCCATGGCTGCTGTACAAAGGAAGCTTTATGTTCTTGGAGGCAATGACCTAGACTACAATAATGACCGGATTCTTGTGCGCCATATAGATTCTTACAATATAGACACTGACCAGTGGACACGTTGCAATTTCAACCTGTTGACTGGTAAGTACCTTTGATTAAGTAAATCAGGAAAAGCAGATTCAAGAAGTCCCCAAAGTTGTTTCATAGACATCTTTAGGGCATCACTAAATTTTAAGTGCATAGTTGTAGAATAACCTGCATTTATTAACCAGAAAGGTGTGCATCATTTATGTTCTAACAAAACTGAACTCATTTAGGTAGCTGAGCATCTAGTTTCTCAGGGCCTACATTACTACCTTAAAGTACATCCTCATGTGGCTGAGAGGCATATCAAGTCCTTTATCATCAATCAGGATTACCATGGAACTCTGATACAAGTGGGAGGAACCAGACACTGAAAGAGTTAATAAATCTTTACAGAAGGAATTTATTGTTTACTTCTCACTGCTTTTAGTCTTATTTCTTATGAGTTCAGGAGTTTTTATTTGCCACTGTCAAATATTGTTTCTGGGAGTATTCTCCTAGAAATGAAACCCTAAAGTAGTTCTGTGCACAGGAGTTAGCTGCATTTCTGGCCACAAATACCCATCCAAGTATTTACCACAGGGCAACATTAGGTATGGACCGTCCTCATCCCAAAAAAGAATGAAAGGAATGTGGTGAACAACTTACCCCTTACTTTTCTTTATGGAGAGAATAACTTTTCCCCACTTGTCAGCTTCCATTGTTAACATCCACAAGTGATCAGATCCCTTCCCGGTCTACTCAAATAATAGGAAAAATTACAAACTGAAAATGGTAGGTTGGATTAAAAGACATTTTGATATGCTGAGTGGGTACTCAATCCCTTGTAGGTGCTGCTGGAGGAGGCAACACTCGGGATCTAACAAGAGGTTTAAATGCTTGTATTGAGCTCCTGTTTTTGCAAAATGATTTTTGAGGTGCACTTGACAAGGACTTAGAAACTCTAAGGCCCTCGACTCTGGATCTGTGATTCTGCCTGCTGTACGATCCAGCTTATTTATTACCCCCGTCAATCCTGTGTCAGCCCATCAGTAAGAGACTCTTTCACTCTCTGATGGCCTCCAGGGAAGAATATGTGGTAGTGAGTTATTCTGTCTTCCTTTTGAAATGGGAGGGGAAACCTTTCATCATTTTGGTGTGTCAGTATCTAGGGATTATCCAGGCTGGTCCCAGCTCAGGAATTTTAACATAATCTTTAAAATGTTGGATATGTAAAGAAAGGTAGGCTAGCAAGTTGATCAATCTTTTCTGCCATTTGTCTTCATTTGGGCCATGCTAGGAGCATGGCTCTGCTTTATTGGCTTCTTGGGTTGCAACTTTGCAAACATAAGCACTTGGCTAAAAGCATTTGTGGGTACTATAGGAGGTGCCTTTCATTTCTATAATATACCTTATTTTCACCACTGTAAATTAATGGCATGTGACAGAGTATAAAATTCAGTTCTACATGGCTTACTATTGCTGTATTTAATGCTGTATTTACTAACTTGGCTGGTTAATAATTGTTTTGGCCTGGTTCTAACCCAACACAGATTCATTCTCTGAGAAATAGTGCTTAATTTTTTTGAGTACTGGGAGGCAGTGATTTGTTGCTGCAAAAATCCCGTGGAATATACAAATGTGCCACAGGGGAAAATTGTATCCCTCAGTGGCAAAAGGGTTAATTAAAATATATAAGAAATGGATTTATTTTTTTCTTTTTATTCAATTCTCTTTACTTTAGGCCAAAATGAATCTGGAGTTGCTGTCCATAATGGGAGAATATATTTAGTTGGTGGATATTCAATTTGGACAAATGAGCCTCTGGCTTGTATCCAGGTAAGTGGTTGAAGTTCCTTTTGAAGTTTGTTCAAGTGGTTCAGTGAGGTTACATTTTGCAGTGCTGCTACTAAAGAAAGAGATATTTACATTTAGAAAGAGGCTTAATGTCCCTTTTTTGTGCAACTAGTTCAGCCACTAAACTTCATCCCGTATTCTAAAAATGATGCCTAAATAAATGATTGAGTCCTATTAAAAATAAAAATGGGATGAGCTTTGAATATATGTGTAATATGTACTGGAAACTGGGGAACTGGGATAGCTTTCCCTTTCTCCCAACCAAAACATTCTAAAAATATTTGGCAATAGTTCCTTCACATCCCCAACGCTTTACAAATACCTCCTTTCCACACCATTACCTTATTTTTTATGTTACAGTTCATTCATTCCTACAAATGCCACCTACAAAGGTGTTCTTCCTTCATGGCAGAGGCTGTAAGCAGTAGTGGTTTATGACTGGTCTGATAGGGACAGCCTCTGTCCCAAAGAATAGCCCTGGTGCATCAGCATATGAGCAGCCCAGGCTGGGCAAGTTGCCAGCTAGGCCTTTCAGAAGAGAATAGCCCTTGCTGATAGATACATTCAAAGTATTACTTGTATTATTATTTTACAGTTACTACCATAGCTTTCTCTTTTACAGTTTCTCTGATAAAATATTGACATATATTAGCCCTGACCTTTCTTCCTGACCTCCAGAAAAGTACATCCTTCTAACTACTTTTATTATCTAATCTCATATTTATGGGAAGATTTTTAACAACTGCATCAATATCTTTAATAGCTGCAGGACAGCTCAACCTTTTTACTTCTTTTTCAGTCACATCTCACAAGGTATATATATATATATATATATTTTTAAGAAACTTCCATGTTGTCTAAGTTTACAAAATTGCTAGCATATAATTATTGTGTTATCCTTAGTTGTATCTCCCTTTACATTCATAGTATTGCCTCTTCTTCTCTTGATTTGTCTTGCCAGAGGTTTGTCTGGGGAATTTAAAGTACTTCTATTATTCATATAGATGAAGTTTAAAAAATAAGTCAGCAAGGGTTGGGTAGATATGAAAAATATAATTAACGAGCTTGTCTGAATGGATTTGAGTTCTGATTGAACAGTTGGAAAGAATATTTTTTTCTTAGCATACACGGAACAAAACCAGTCATGTACTATAGGATTAAGAAAACGAGTTAAAAAAATTAAGTATCATGTAGTATTATATAACTCTAATACAGTGCAATTAAGTTAGAACTTAACAAAAAAATAAACCCCAGCCAGGTGTGGTGGCTCACGCCTGTAATCACAGCACTTTGGGGGGCTGAGGCGGGCAGATCACCTGAGGTCAGGAGTTTGAGACCAGCCTGACCAACATGGAGAAGCCCTGTCTCTACTAAAAATACAAAATTAGCTGGGTGGGTGGCGCATGCCTGTAGTCCTAGCTACTTGGGAAGCTGCGGCAGGAGAATCACTTGACCCAGGAGGTGGAGGTTGTGGTGAGCTGAGATGGTGCCACTGCACTCCAGCTTGGGCAACTAGAGGGAAACTTCATCTCAATAAATAAGTAAACAAATAAACCCCTATGTATCTGGAAATAATAAAACACATTGCTTTATAACTTATGGGTTAAAGAAGAAATCATAGTGGAACTTAAAAAAATTCTTGGAGCTGTGATAATGAAAACAATACACAGCAAAGCTTGTAATATATAGCTTCGTAAGTTAGAAAATGATCAAAGAAAATAGAAGGAGATAATAAAGTTGAGAGAAAATTAATAAACTGGGAAACAATAATACAGGAGAAAAGAATTATCAAAGCCACACACACGAAGAGCCACATAAGATTTTACAGGAGTTCACTGAAGGCTGCCTTGTACTGGTTTCAGTGTTAATGGAAGGCTGCCCTGCACTAGAGCTTAGTCCTATCTTCGGATAACAACAAACGAGCAAACTTTTTCTCAAAGAGTGCTTCTGGTCTTCATCCAAGCATGTATTTGGTAGCCTTTCACAGCTTTCTAGGTTTGTTTTTACTTTTCACTTTTCAGAATTGGTGGAACCTAGACGTGGGCAACAGTTCTCTACTGGAACACTGTTTTTTTTTTGAGACAGAGTCTTACTCTGTAGCCAGGCTGGAGTGCAGTGGCGCAAACTTGGCTCACTGCAACCTCCGCCTGGGTTCAAGCGATTCTTCCTCCTCAGCCTCCCGAGTAGCTGGGACCACAGGCGCGTGCAAAGACGCCCGGCTAATTTTTGTATTTTTAGTAGAGACGGGGTTTCACCATGGCCAGGATGGTCTCGATCCCTTGACCTCGTGATCCGCCCGCCTAGGCCTCCCAAAGTGCTGGGATTACAGGCGTGAGCCACCGCGCCCAGCTGGAACACTGTTTTTTAAGTGGCTTTGGGACCCTTCATTTGGGTCACTTGTACAATGGAAGTTTGGGTTTATTATGAAATAAGCTTGTAAATTTTAAATACATTTATAAGCATATTTCTACTACTTTTAGTATCAGATTAGCTCAAGGAATAGAAAATGGGTAGAAACCCTCATATAATGAGGAAATAAGAAAATGCTGTACATACCAAGTTTAGGAGACCAGAGTGCTGCCACAGTGCACTTTCTCCACATCTCCTATTTTGTAATAGTCTTGAATGTTCACTTAGAAACAAAAATAATTCATAGTCACATCTTTGTTTTTTTGTCACCAAAGAATTTTTCTTTAGAATGATCACTAATCATATACACCAATTAACTGCTAATGACATTTGGCTGTTTTCAAACAAATCTATCCACAAGAAGTAAAGAGATAAATAAGTGCATATTTTAAACCACTGAGGATATTCGAAAGTACCCTCAGGATTATGGTGATTCTCAAAGGGGATTCAATTTTTTTTAAATCAATGCATGTATTAGTTTTACCTCTGAGATTATACAATAATATATTCTAGTATGTTTGCTTTTAAATAAAAGTTACCATGATGGGTATTTCTGTGTTCCAGTAGCCATTTTGATGAACAGAATCATTTCTTTGGAAAATGCTGTGTTCATTCCTTTGGCTGGCACACTGGTCCTACAAAGCACAGACAGATTTGTTAAAAAAAATTTTTTTTGAGACAGAGTCTTGCTCTGTCTTCTAGGCTGAAGTACAGTGGCACGATCTCTGCTCACTGCGAATTTCTCCTCCTGGGTTCAAGTGATTCTCCTGCCTCAGCCTCCCAGGTAGCTGGGATTGCAGGCATGCACCACCATTCCCAGCTAATTTTTTGTATTTTTAGTAGAGACGAGGTTTCACCAGGCTGCCCAGGCTGGTCTCAAACTCCTGACCTCGTGATTCACCCACCTCGGCCTCCCAAAGTGCTGGGATTACAGGCCTGAACGACCACACCCAGCGGATTTATTTCTAAGAGCCTTTACTATTAATATGTATTTACTATTAATAAGTATCCATATAAGCATATGGATTATCACTTAAAGAGATGTTTGAAGTAGAGGCCTTCATGGATAGTTGACATACATCTTTCATTTTAGTTACTGATAGCTGGTTACAGGCTATATTATCATTCATTCTGAACTAAGGCTCAAATGTTTTTTATGTTATGGATGACTACAGAACTATTTGTTTCAATAACTAACAGTAATAAATTGATGGTTGGAGAGACTAGCTACACGTTCAAAAGTAGGCCGCTTCTTTGTTACTTAAAGAACATCCAACAGAGGCAAGATAATGGGAGACTGGAATGGTATTTATGAGAAAACAATGGAAATTCCTAAGTATGTCAGTACAGAAGCATGGTGGGGAAAATCAAATGCAGACTAAAAATATAAAGGTTTAAATTTTTTGTGTATCAGTCACAAATCTACCTAACATTTGATCCAAGATTAATCCACAAATCATTAATCCAAGAGGAATGGCTGATTAGTACAAGTCAGACTTAAATAGTTCAGAGATTGTTCTATTAACATTCAGAAGGACTAAAGTCGTAGTTTTGCTCTCAAAAGTACCAACCAATGTCTGGTTGAACTGTCCCTTCTGGACCCTAATCCAAGCTCTTTTAACTGTGATTTGTAAGATTCAACCATAGTGGGATGAAGCATGTCCAATGTTGAAAAAGCATAGTTTATTTCCTGCTACTACTCTGATTTAGCACAGACTACTTAACCATCACAAGGACAACGCAGAGAAAAGCAGAAATGCTTTTAGACTGAGATTTGAACTTGTTAATAATAAACATTCTAGGAAAATACTGGAAATAGATTACTGATGAAGGGTGTTGTTTATTTAGTGGGTGTGTTAACTAATGTAGGGCACAGAGGTTTGACTCTAATCTTGTGTGCCATGGATGACAAATGGCACATAAAGGAGCAGCTGCTTAAGTGTGCAAGTGATTAGTCTGTTTCTAGATCACCTCTACTGTTGAAGGATATAGTGCCAGCTTGGCACCATTCTCCCAAATGCCTTCTTTCAGCCAGTTTACAGGGGAGTGTTTTGGAGAAAAACTGCCAATGCTTCCTCTTCCCTTCTCAGATTAAATACATTACATCTGCTTAATATACGCAGTCTCTGTTGGCCCAAGCAACCAGACAAAAGCTCTCTGGATGATTATCTCATTAGTATTTTGCCTTCTAAAAATGTTTTCATTCAGGAGAGAGGGCACAAAATCCTTGCTCTTTCTGGGTTGATCTTGAGCTCAAATACTGGCTCCATCACCTTGAGAAAGTCACTTATTTTTTTCCAGTTACCAATTTTCTTCTTTGTAAATTGAAGAAAATACTTAGCCTTATAGAACTGTAGCAAATACTAAATGACCTCTGATTTACTTTCTTAATGAAATACTATCCAAAGCCCCACTGCGGCTTTCCCTTTTCTTATGGGGTGAAGGAGTGATACCTGTCAAACTGATCTTGAAAGTTTCTCTAGGAAAGTAAATGTATAAGAAAACCAAGAAAATTTTGAAAATAAATGGGGGAGTCTTGCCTTACCTAGTCAAAATGACTGTAAATGTGACACTGAAATAAAGTATATCAATTAACAGAACAGAGAAAAGGTTTGTATTTAGTATATGAGTTATTTTAAATTAGTAGTGACAGGGCATATTGTTCAATAAAGGGACTGGGGCATCTAATCTCCACTTGGGGAGAAAATGGCTGTAATTTTGATCTTCTATTCTAGAACTTAGTGATTTCCTCATTTGTGAGCATGGATCCCCAAATTTCAAGGGCCCATTTCCTGTAAAATAATGCATTCTTGCAGTTATAGGCTTAAGATTTATCCATACAGGTGATAGATGAAGGCATGAGAGTGGACTAGGTCATTAAAAGAGGATACTAAGAGGCCTGTGATTGAAATATTGAGTAACACCTGTGTCCAGGATGCAGCTGAAGTAAAAGCGATCCAAGGTGGAATACAGTATGACAATGTCAGTGACAAAGTTTTATTTTTTAAAACACCAAATCGGAGGGAGGCAAATGTTTGAGACCAGCCTGTGCAAAATGGCGAGAGCTCATCACTACAAAAAATTTACAAATTAGCTAGGCTTGGTGATGTGCACCTGTGATCCTGGCTATTCAGGAGGGTGAGGCAGGAGGATTGCTTGAACCCAAGAGATCCAGGCTGCAGTGAGCACCACTGCACTCCAGCCTAGGTGACAAAGAAAGACCCTGTCTCAAAAACAGAAAGAAAACTGCAGCATGACGAACAGGAAAGAACTGGGAAAAAACTTCCAGAATCAACTGAACTTATTTTGAACTTGCTACTAAGCTGTGTTATATTCCATTACCTGCCAGACACTGAGCTAGATGTCATCAATTTTCACAACAAAGCTGCAAGGTCTTGTTTTCTTCATTTCACAGATGAGGATGTTTAAGCCAATATTATGACAGACTACTTACTAACTAGTTTGGGCAAGTTATTTAGCTTGTCTAAGGCAGTTTTCTTAAAATGACGATAATGCTACCTACTGCATAATTGTTCTGAAGATTAAATGTGTATAAATACAAATGTATGTATATATGTATATTCAGAAACATATTAACATAGTGTAGCATTTAGTAGGAGCTTAATAAATATTTCTGGTACCATTCTAGCATGAAAAAGAATTCCTAAGATACGGTGATGGTGGCATAACTGAATTTAAGTTCAGAATTTCTTTTATGCATACACAGCTTTATTTTGAGCAGTCTTTGATGTACAGGCTTCTCTTCCTCTTTTGTAGGTACTGGATGTAAGCAGAGAAGGCAAAGAAGAAGTATTCTATGGGCCTACACTCCCTTTTGCTTCCAATGGAATAGCAGCATGCTTCCTTCCAGCTCCATATTTCACGTGCCCTAACCTTCAAACTCTTCAAGTGCCTCATCACAGGATTGGCACCATCTGAAAAGCCAATGCTCTCTTAATAACGATCATGAACAGGAGGAAAGACTTAGTCCTGACCGTTGGATACTGGGCATGAAAAGACCCAGTGCTCAATGCTTCCTTGTCTTGCTTCATAGGTCTTATATTCAGATAGATATAAGCAAAAAATGAACAATTTTCTAAAATACATTATTGAAAACTCTTGTCACCCTTCTCAGAGTATGTCAACATGCAATATGTGACTTATTGTGGTACAGCTTAGTGCCAACTTAAGGTATATTATGTTCCATGGTCTTTAGAGCATTCTTTGTACATTTTTTCTAATCAGCACTCTCTGAAGACAACATAAAACTGTTAGGCAATTTATTTGACTAAATGGCATCAATGATCTTAAAAAATATATATTCTGTACTTAATCCCTTTATTATTTAAAGCTGGGCTTGAATTTAACATTATGCAGCCCTGCTCAGTAGAGACTCAGCATTATGACATAAATTTTTAAATGCCATATTTTATTCAAGGTGATACGAATAATAGACATAAATCAGAACAGCAGTTGAAATACCCATATTTTTCACCTTGGTTACTCTGACCTTGGGTCAGAACCTAACATTACAATGCTTCAGTTTTCCCACCTTTTAAGAAGGATCATTACTGATTTCCATGTTAATTAAAAAAAAATCATGAGAATTAGGCGAATATTTTGAAATACTTTGCCCAAGAAAAAGAAAAATGTTACTGAAATTAGAAGGTGTTTTACTGTCTTTAGAACATTGTAATTGAAGAGGATTATTTTTAAAGTTTAAAAATTACTAGATAGAACTTGGAAACATGTTATGGAATAAATGATACTTAAAAGCATGTGCCAGAGACACATAATTAGGAAATAGGGAGTTTACAGAAACCAAAGTTATCTAAACTTGACTCTCAGATGTCTCATATAAAATCATTTAGTGAAAAATGACATTTAAAGCTAAAAAATAATTTAGTAGTACTAATTATGGTACCATAAAGTGCTTTGACACAAATTTGAACCTTGAATTGGCAGTTCTAATAAAAGTTTTTCCACTTTGTTAAAGGTTATGTCAATCTTGAGTGCTTGTGGGATTCTTCACCACCACCAATACATATTTTATTACTATCACTTTTAATAAAGCATAAGAATTCTTTTTTAAGCTAGTTTTTTTTGGGTTTGCTTTGTCTATAACAAAAAATAAATGAAACAACTTAATCACATTTGAAAACAAATTCAAGAAGTATAATGTGAGTTTTTCTTTTTCCTAACGTCCTCAGGACCTAGGTCATCTTTACTAAAAGGAAGAATTCACTCTTTTTTTCCTTGGCATTTAATCATTCAGCAATCCCTCTCTTAAAAGAAATTGTTACTTTATTCATGTAACCATTTTTTTTGTAATCAAAAGTGAATAAAAACATCTTTTTGTCTTAAATACAGAACTCACTAACTTCATATATTGTTATATATAAAACATTGAAAAAAAATATGACCTTTGGTTACTCAAATTCAAGGGGCAGGAAGGAGACTAAGGAGAAGGAAAACAGGTACATTAAAAAGAATAGGAATTTAGTGTAGACAAAAATCTTGAGTATTTGGATAGTTCTGAACAGTGAAAATTGATACTGACCATTGATATTTAGAATCAAGACAGCTTCTTTAAATGGTATAAGCCACCTAAACTAAAATTTTAAAATGCCTTACCAAGGCAGGAGAATGGACTCCAGTATTTCAGAAATCTTTTCAACAAGGACTTAAGAATTCAGCTATACTAATTTTTCTACTTGGGACATGAATTTTCTCTCTGGCAGTTTTACCTAATACTATTAAAATCTATTTGTATTCCCAGGCCCTATATCCAATCAGTGAAAAGGAAATGCTCTAAAAATAAGCTTATCCAACTAATAATGGAAAGGCAGCCTGAGACTACCCTTGATTATTTCTGCATATATTTCCAACTATTCATATAAAACAAATCAACATATATTATCAAACCCCTCCTAGGTGATCTTTATAATGTAATAGCCAGTAACATTACAGAACTAAACTCAGAATTTTAAAAACTTTTACAGGGTTCAGACACACTCTTTACAGCTATAGCCAAAAGTAGTACAAAAAAATAACATCCCTTCCCTAAAAAGAAAAAGAAAAAAAAAAAAAAAACAGATAACCTATAATTAGATCCTTTTATTCAACGTTATCAATAATAGAAATAAGAATTCTATTAAACTATGTCTGGTCATATGAACCAAATTTCACTAAAACTATTCAAATATATATACATTTTCTATTTAAGTGAACTATAGGGTAGTTCACTTAAATAGAAAACGTATGTATACTTCATCTTCCATTTCCATTTTACTCTTCAAAATTAAAGGCTAAATTGTATTTGTAATGTAAGTTATTATATTAATGTGAATTTTTATAGGAAGGCCATGAGACTTCCAAACACTCAAATATCAATATTTTACTTTAAAAGAGAAAACAAAACACAGTACCACATAAATGATAGCAGATATTCTATCATTTGCTGTAGACAGAAACGCCAGCAAAGATGTGAATTTCTAAAATAATCTTTACAATGCAATAACACATCTTAAATCCTTAATAAAATACCAATTAGGTAATGATTAGGGTATTTTTCATGCTTTTTCCTTCATATTTTCTTCACACCTTAACCACACGTACATCACATCTCTTTCAGCTACAATATCTGAAAACCTACCTTTCTATAGTTTTACCACAAAGTACAAAAGCATCTGTAATAAGACAGCAATTACTCCTTTACCAGAAGTTATTCCTTCTGGTAACATGACTCATTTTTACTCTGGCTTCCAAATAGTGACTCTGATATAAAAAAAAAAAAAGTTCAATAATCAAGGGCACAATGTAAGTTGAATATATACTTTTATTATTATATATAGTTAATCGTTATCATATGCACAAATAATTCATAAATATGTGTATAAAATTAAAATGTCCCCAATGTTTCTAAAAGCACAATTCATAAATGCAATAAAAATTGTATTGCCATTGGCACACCAAAAATTTTAATAAGTAGAAACTGGTCAATTCCAATCATTTCATACTTTACAATTCAGACTATCACAATATCAAAATAAAAATTAAATTTGTGAAGAATATGCTATGCTTCCCAAACCAATTGTTTCTAACCAAATAAAGCATATTATTTATATTGGCATACTATACTCTTGCCTGATGAGGCAATATTTTTAACTCTAAGAGGGGTAGGCAAAAGATCAGTTTTTGGAAAATATAAAATTTATATAAAGAGTCTATGGATAAAAAGCAGTGGTTTAGTACAGATGATTCAACTTTTGTTAAGGCTTCTATATCTATTTACCTTTTAGACATGGGGAGACATGAGTGCTATGATAACATGTATGGTTTGGGGAAGGCAGATTTCCTAAAGGCTTTTCCCAACTGCAGAAGCTTGTCAAATTTTTATATAACATATAATTTTAACTGTCAAAGATTCTGTGAAAGTACATGGCAACAGGTCCATGTAATTCTTTAAGAATAAGGTAGTTTAAGAAATTTGTTGTAAAGCATGGAAGAAAATAATAATGGGTAATGAAAACCCATAAACATCTGACTCACGAATATTTTCTTAAATAGATACCAAGGTCAAAAGTCAAATATACTTAAGAACAAAACATACTAAGGATAGGTAAAGGTATACAAGTTTTAAACTATGAAAATCTTCTAATGCAAATGAATTCAATACTGAATGACTTTTCCACAGAGACAGTCCTCCATGCTTTCTTCCTTGCCATGGAAACGTTCTAATTAAATTGAAATTTAAATCATAACCAAATCCAAATGCCTAATAAAGTCCTTTCATTACTCTGTTGTCCTTCAATCATCTTTTATACTCCATCTGGCATTTTACAGATATTATTTGACTGGAATATTCATGTATCCAAATGTATATTTTAATTTTCTTCCTATTTAAGTGTCTTAAGTTTCTACAGGAAACAGGTCCTATACAGGTTCTTACAGTTTCCACACTGGAAACTGAATGAAGCTGAGTGTAGGATGAACATGGCAATCAAAGAAAGCTGCTAAAGGAGCCTCTTGTTTAGCAAGAGATAAGTTTGAGGACAAAAGGTAAAGTCAGATAGATGGCAGAAAGTCTCCAGACTGAAGGGTTTCAATGTCACCTTATAAACAATGGGTAGTTACTGGAAGTCCTTGAGCAGAAAAGTCACAAGAGGAAAACAGTATTTTAGGAATACTCATTTTAAAACATAAGCTATAGGAGAGAATACCAGAGTAAAGGAAATAAGTAGTGCCCAACAGAAAAAAACAAACAAAAAATAGTGAAAGCAAGGGATCACAAAAAGAAAAGAAGACACGTAAGAGCCTGTAATGTTAATCAACTGAAAGTGGGAGAATAAGGAAGAACCTAAAATGCCTTTCATATTTCAAGGTGAAATCACTTGGGACAACAGTGTATTATTCCCTGGGTAGAAAAAGAAAGTAGGAGCTAGTCTGAAGTAGAAAGTGACATGGGTAGCTTGACATGTTGCCTTGAGAGTTCAGGAGACTCCAAATACAGAGGTTCAGAGAGAAATAATAACTAGAAACCAATCTAAGAGGTAAAAGCTGGAGCTACCAGTTCACCACTAACAGAACGTTGAGGCAAAGCAGATAAAGGGTCAGATCTTACAATTTGGGACAGGAAAGAAGACCATGAAGGTGTTCTCAAGATACAGTGGTCACTTCTCGGTATCTCTGGGAATTGGTTTCAGGACCCCCTGCGCATACCAAAATCTGCATATACTCAAGTTCCACAGTTGGCCCTGAGGAACCTGCCTATACAAAAAGTTGGTCCTCCATATACTCAGGTTTTGTACCCCACAAATACTGTATTTCAGATCCACATATAAGTGGACCCACACAGTTCAAACTTGTGTTGTTCAAGGGTCAACTGTATATGTAGGAAGGAGTCGTATCACTGTGGAAGTGATGGGAAGATAAAAGAAAATACAATTGTCTCACAGAGGACAAAGAACATGAGAACGGAGAACAAATTCAGATCTGATCAAAAGAGAATGGCTTATATTACACTGGTGGAAGAAGCAGCCTCAGAAATTACAGAATATTGAGGGAAAACTGGCTATTAAAGAAGCAGGTATAAGGGATTCCACATCTTGAGAATGGAAGACAAGATTGTAGTAATAAATGAAGGATCAGTGAAAAATTTCAAAAAAAAAAAGGAACTGGTCATAAATTTTTTTCTTTCTTCAATTAAAAAAAAGTTTTTAAAAAATTTTACTTATACATAAATATAAAACATTTATACACACATATAGTTATAGACTTTGTTGCTACCATTCTTAAGTGCAGATTTTAGTTATTCTTAGCATCTACAGATACATGTCCTAATGCATGATTCAGTAGCAGCTTTTCCTATCCTTTAAACATTTCATATTCTAAGGAGCAAAATTCTCAGAGATATCTTTATCAATCTCCTTTGGAAAATAACACCCCCCCACCACACACATACACATACACATAAATAACCTGTTTAAAGGCATCAACTTAAATAGATAAAACTCCTTAGTAACTGTTGAAACTTGCCAAGCCATACGTTTTTTTTAGTAAGTCACTATCATGATGAAAAGAAATTCAGTGTTATCAAGTCTATTAAGCAGACTTAAGCTTTCATTTATTCCATTTGATGAAGTTAATTTGAGAGAAAAACAGACCATTTATATGTTATGAAAACGGATACTCCTTTGGATTTCATAGATCACAATTAAGAGAGAACTATTAATTATATAATGCTGATTAGAATGTGTTTCATTTTTAAAGATACTCCTTGAGCCAGAGAAGGGCTGAAATGTTTTCTTGAAGGAATAGCAGAACCATGATAAAGACTATAATCCCAAGAAGGAAACAAATTACTTCAAAGTTAGCAAATATGATGTAAGAAAACAGAAAGTGGGATCATTCATCTGGGATGTATCATTAGAGAAAGATAAAACTGAGAGTCTTTCTTTGCCTTAATTGTACATGAATAATATACTAATTATATCTGTACATTTCTAAACAGAAATACAGGTCACCAAACATTTTAACATACATTGTCCCACTGATTCTCACAATAACATTGTCAAATAGTAAAGGGATTCTGGATTCTTCTTTTCTTCTCCATGAAGAAACTAGACTGAAAAAGGTTAAGTAACTAGCTCAAGATCATAAAGCAAAGCTGAGTTTGAGAACCAGGTGGGTTCCCAAAACTTCAACTGGAGTTCCTTCAACCAAATAATGCTGACCATGAAAAGGAGTCAAGGACAAGATCCAACTGGTAAAACGAATAATCTGGATGAGGTAAGAGTTCCAAGGTTGAGAAACAATAGTTGTTAAAAAAAAAAATAAACAGGTTTTTTGGATAAAACGCTAAGTTATGAGAAGCTCTGGCTAAAGAGCAGGAAGACATATCAGCTGACTACTTCTCAGACCACTACTATTATTAATTTTCTAGAATATTTTAATTTATTCTCTTTTCTTAAAGTCTCCTTTATTTCCTCTTCCAGCTATGATTTTTAAATGACAACTCCAAAAGAAAGGATGAATAAAGAAAAATGGCAACTCCTGGAACCTAAATATAAGCACTGTCAGCATGTTAGGGGCTATCAGCTTCCTTTAGCCAGATTCAGTCTTATTCCTAACACACTTAAGTATGCTTTGTAAGGGTTTTATTTATTAACTTGCCTCACACATTTAAAAAAGAAAAACAAATAAACAGTCTCATTTCCCAACACCTTTTCCTCACCAAAAAAAAAAAAAAAAAAAAAAAAAAAAAAGTATAGGATAGCCAGGTATTTTGAAAAAGCATCATATTAAAACATAACTTATTGTAAAAATAAAAAATAAACATGACAAATCAGTCACAAGGCAGGAAGGCAGGAGGTCATATTACAGCAAAAAGTCCATGGATGAAGTATCTGCTTAATACTCATACACATACACAGAAACACTCCTAGTTAGAAAGTTTCTTTAATTTAGTTTAACTAAAATCTCATCAAAGTAGAATGCACTTTTGCAAAGTTCCAAGAATCCTATTACATAGTTGCTAATTAACCTTTAGTTTCTTATTTATACACTTTTTACTTACAGATATAAAAGGAAAAAAATCCTAGAAATTATTTTAAACAGAATATTATACAATTAATTAAAGTAGGAACTGGAGTGGTACAATGTGGCTGTAGATACTGATAATCAATAGACAGGATGAATCACAAAATATATTAAGTATTATCATTTTCCAGTCTCTGCATCGCATCTTGTCCCACCTGTCCCAGGTGAGACAAAAGTTTGCTATAGGCCTCCCTGTTTAAGAAAAAATAAAAGTAAGAAAATATATTTATTATCATTTCCATTATTTTTCATTTAAGTGTTTCTAAATTAAGTCTGTCCATCCTTCCACCCATCCATCCATCCATCCTCCAGCAGGCTTAGCACAACACTTCTTAAAAAGTGATGCTTTCTATCTATTGTGAGCAAACCTAGATGTTAAAATGTATTCAGTTTAATTTTTATATACAAAATGTGTGCTAAAAATGACATGTAAAAGTTCATTGCCTTCTGAAATATAATGCTCATAGGTAATGAAATATGTTCATGGAATATTATTTAATGGCAATGATGGTATAATTACAATGGGAAGACTTGTATCACAAATATAAGTATTAAAACAAAAATTCTATAACCATAAAATAGACCTGTGTAGCAATTTCAGTATATATCCCATTTTCTTCTTTTAACTTCTTACAAGTAAAAAAATTTAAAAAGTAAATAGTTTCTCCTACTATATTCTCTAGCACTTCCCTAAATTTAGGAGGTATTTTAGATGACTTATTGTGCCTAGCAGTTATCTCACTAGTCTAAATACCTGTTCTGTTCAAAATCTTTAAAACCAACCTTCTCATGGGTTTACACGGTCACACAAGGTAGTAGGCCATTAGAACATTTGTTTTTACAACATACAACATTTGGGTGGTCCACACAAAGCCTCTAGTAAAAAGACTACTCAGAGAAGCCAGATGTGAGACATGTCTGTGCACAAGCTTGTTCTGTGACATGACAATAAACACCATTTCTTCAAGCTACAATTTGAAGTGATTCAACTTCCTCTCTCTAGAAAACTCTAGGAGGCTAGCCAAGTCAATATGCAGAAGAAAGGAGATATTCCATTCTGGCATACAAAAGCTTTACAAGGATGATCTCTCCAGTTCCCTGCCATTCCCCACCTTTACTTTTTGGGTTTTCATTTACTGTACTAAAAAAATGGATTCCATTCCTTAGCTAAAGGTATAATCAACATTGTTATGTCTCTAAGAAAGATCTCATATATGACATTGTTGGATAAAACTGGAATATGCATATCGATTAGACTGTGTATTTGCACAGATACACATATACACAGACACACATGCATACGATGCATTAACAACATTTTGGTCAATGATGGGTCCTATTAAGATTATAATGGTACTGAAAAATTCCAAATGCCTAGTGATGTTGTAGTCATTGTAATGTCTTAGTGTAATGCCTTATTCACGTGTTTGTGGTGATGCAGATGTAAACAAACGTAATATACTGTCAGTCATATAAAAGTCTAGCACACACAATTACACTTGATAATAAGAAACAATCATGATACTGGTTTATATATTTACTATACTTTACTTTTTATTGTTATTTTAGAGTGTATTCCTCTTAAACTTACAAAAATAACCATAAAACAGCCTCAGGCAGGTCCTTCAGGAGGTATTCCAGAAGAAGCGTTCCTTATCATAGGACATGACAGCTCCGTATGAGTTACTGCCCCTGTAGACCTTCCAGTGGAATAAGATGTAGAGGTGGAAGAGAGTGATATTGATCATCCTGACCCTGTGTAGGCTCTGGCTAATGTGTGTGTGCCTTCATTTCTTACAAAAAAGTTTAAAAATAAAAAATAATTTAAAAATGGAAAAAAGCTTATTCAAGAATACAAAGAAAGAAAATCTTTTTGTACAGCTATACAATGTGTGCGTTAAGCTAAGTGTTTTTACAAAAGAGTAAAGTCAAAAAAAGAAAAAGTTTAAAAGGCAAAGTTATAGTAAGCTAAGGTTATTATGTATTATTAAAAAATTAAAAATTTTAAAAATAAATCTAATGTATGTTGTGTACCATGTTTACAAACTGTACTACTATAGTGTACAGTAATGGCTTAGGCCTTTGCATTTACTCACCACTCACTCACCGACTCACCCAGAGCAACTACCAGTCCTGCAAGCTCCATTCATGGTTAAGTGCCGTATATAGGTGTACCATTTTAAAATCTTTTCTACCATGTAATTACTATACTTTTTTATGTTTCCATATGTTTATACATACAAATACTTACCATCATGTTATAATTGTCTGCAGTATTCAGTACAGTAACATGTTGTACAAATTTGCAGCCTAGGAGCAATAGTACATACTACGTTGCCTAGGTATGTGAGAGGCTGTTCTATTTAGGTTTGTGTAAATATACTCGATTGATGTTCACACAATAATGAAATTGCTTAATTACACATTTTTTAGAACCGATTCCTGTCATTAAGCAACACACAACTGTATTCTAATTCTTTAACAATTTGTAAGACATAAAAATTCTAGTGTGAGTACTGACTACTCTAAAAGGATTTCTTTAAGAAATAAATATAGGCTTATTCCCACAATGTTGGTCTACATAGTTCAGCACTATTTTCAGTTGAGTTATGAGCCTCTACAAAAAAGTCTTATTTCCTATTTTTGACCAAAACCCATATTATCTAATTGGGTCACTTATTCACCAGATACACATGATACAGGTGTCTAAATAAATCAAGCATCCCTCAAAGGGTTATGATTTGTCAGCATAAATTTTATAAAAAAAACAAGACACTCAAGAATATAAAGTCCACTTCCCAATGAGGAACACTGAAATGTGTTTTGAGCAACAGCAGCAGAGCTGAAATATACAGCTTTCTAAAGTGGTCTCTTTGAAAGGAAACACATGCAAATGTATGTATTGATTCTGCTAAGTTTGTTGATAAGTCATGCTACTTCTATTCACACTTTGTAAAACTGATTTAACAATCACTGTACTGAAACATTTTTCATCTCAAAAGAACACACTCAAATTTAGGGTAATTAGAAAATAAATCATTTCTATAAAATGAAATATAGATTTTATAATCACTGCCCCCCTCCAAATGTAATTAAATTATCAAACCTACCTTTGTGCTATATTCCTGCCAAGGCCCCATTTCTGCTCTGAATCCTTCAGAGACTGAGTGAGGGTAGAAATCAAGTGGATGACAACCTGCTTGTCCAATGTTGCTACTGTTTCTAAAATGCTGTAAACCTGATAACAGTACCTTGTATCATAATCCTGGATAAACTGCCTGAAAGTAAAACAGGTTTATTTAGGATTACTCCTGCGGCAATTCCTTGTGCTGGTATCTACATGGCAATCAACTATAAACTGAACATAACGATGATCATTTCATATAAGATTACTGTAAAAATCTAGATGCAATATGAAAACTATTTAAAACACTTTAAAATAAAGAATTGAAGTGGTTTATTTCAGTTGAGCTGTGACCAGAGTGAAAGCATTGTGGGGAAGAGCAGAGAAGGGAAGAGTTGGAAGCTTGGGAGAGAGAAGGGGTAAAAATCAAATCCCAGTAACTGTTTTGCTATATTCTACATGTTGAAATCTGGGTAGAAAGGATATGGGAGACAGTAAGACAAAAAAGTCAGATATCCTAGTTACGTTTTAGTTCTTTGTAGCTCTATATAAATAAAACAATATTTTTACGAGGAAAGCAAGTTATTCCTAATATATTTTTATGTTCCTTAACTAAAACCTTTAGACCATAGAAGATATTTGTAAATTAAAATTCCTTATTTTAGCCCTAAAACCTCTACCCTCCACTACCAATCAACAAAATAAAAGCCACCTAGCTTAGCAAATTGTAGATAACATTCAATCTTTGATCATATAAAATCCTTTTTCCCCTCCCAGGGCTTCACAGTTTTCACAAATCCACTGTTATTGAGTGATCACAATTTAAATAAACTATAAACACTTGATGGAGACCTATTACGTGATGAGAAAAACGGAGGTATCAAAGATCCAACACAGAATGAAGGAAATGAACCCAAGTTATTTATCATGGTAGCGGTAAGACAGAAATAGGAAAAATAAAGGTGAACTGGTAGAAATCTTCAGAAAGATATACAAAAACATACTGCCCTAATAGCACAAGACTCTAAAGGGGCAAGACAGGGAAGAAAAATAAAATATTCCTCAAGTTGCAGTGTTATTCTTATGAACAACAGATCTACTCCTATAAAGTCCATGCTTCACAAATTAAACATAATGGAGCTTTCTGGAGCAACAGTTAGTATCTTAAAGCAAGTCAGAAAAGCAGTGACACGTACTTCTACATGTTCCTGAGGAACATGTTTAGCAAGCTCTAAAGGCCTGTGTACCTGTCATCATGACTCGCATTTCCCACTTTACCCTCTCAAATCCAGTCTAGGACCACATAATGACATTTCAGTCAATGACAGATAGCACATACAACGATGTTTCAATATAATAAGATTAAAATACAGCATTTTTACTATACCTTTTCTGTGTCTGGATACATTTAGATACACAAATACTTACCACTGTGTTATAACTGTCTATGGTATTCAGTGCAGTGACATGTTATACTGATTCGCAGCCTAGGACCATTAGGCCATAACCACATAGCCTAGGTGCAGAGTGGGCTATAATCAACTAAGTTGGTATAAGTACACTCTATCTGATGGCCACACAATAATGAAATTGACTGATTTCATCATTTCTCAGAACTTATCCCTATTGTTAAGTGACATATGACTGTTCATGCAAAATTCTTTCTTACTAAATTCATGAGTAATTTTAAGCCCCCTCACTTATCTTTTTCACGGGCACTTTTATTTTTCAATAAAACATCACAATGTAACAAAACTACTGCCAAAAGTACAATAATTGAAATACTATAAACAAGTAGTAACACATTATGTTTTGGGTAATTAGTTATTTAAAAAACATGTTGGCTGTCAAATGGCTGGCAATAGTCTCCTTGCCAGTTGGCATATTTTCCAGTTACCTAAACACAGAAGTCAGCTGGGCGGAAGGTTCTTCTTCTGACCCCACTTGGCAGGCTTTTACCATGTATTGCAGGTTCTCTGTGGCCAGCCTTTTAACTAGAAGGAAAAATTATAGCATTACACACTGTGTCTGAATTGACCATCTGGATCCTCATTTTTATGAACACTCTTGATTTAGAAAAATATGTTGTTTTCTTAAAGTATATACATCCTTTTACTATTTTTCAAAATGAAATAGTTCTGAGTTTGTTTTATTTTAAAGTATACCTATCTTCCATTTTAAGAAAATATAAAAGTTTTAAAGTGTACTTTTTAGTCTGAATTAATACATGTGAAGATATATTTTTCTCTTAGAAAGGTGTCCATATTCAAAAATATTACACCATCCTAATCCTACAGTTACATACCAACAAAAGAAAGCCTTTAAAAATTCAGCTGGTTTTCAGACAGGCAGATTGCCTTTTTAAAAATTCATAAGCATATTCCTCCTACCCCCTCACAAACATATAAGTAGCAAACTAAATACCATGAACAATTTATTTTCACTTAAAATTAGCCAAATATGTATGCAAAAATGCTGTTTGTAATATCTTCCTTTCAAAGGATTACAAAAGTATAAAAAGCTTACATTCTTTAAATATTTAACCAAATCCTTTAAAATTGTGTACTTATACACAAAAATAATGCAAAAACACCAAGAAAGGATGTAGAAAACCCAGTATGTTCTGAATGCTACTAAATTCTTATGTTTTTTTGACACATTAAATTTAAGATTAAAAAGTGCTTTTTCCAAGAATTAAAAAATTTCAGAAACTGTAACCGATTATAGCAGGAGCACAAAATATATGATGAACATGCACTTAATTAATATTGGGTTAGTAGACAATGTTTTGCATGGGATGAGGCTAGTGGCTAAGGAACACAGTTTCCTTGCCTTTTACTTGAAAACTTTTTACAACTTTTTAAAATACTTCTCATATTAGATGTAGTTTATTCTTTCTTTAACTGACGTATTTTTTTAAAAAATAGGTAATCTTTTTAAAGACAGGGTCTTGCTCTGTCACCCAGTCTAGAGAAATGGTATGATGGTAACTCACTTTGACTTCCATCTCCTGGGCTCAAGTAATTCTCCTACCTTAGCCTCTCAAGTAGCTAGGACTACAGGTGCATGCCACCATGCCTAGCTAATTTTTTAAAAAAACTTTTTGTAGAGATGGAGGTCTTGCTATGTTGCCCAGGCTGGTCTTGAACTCCTAGTCTCAAGTGATCCTCCCAGCTTGGCCTCCCAAAGCACTGGAATTACATGTATGAGCTGCCACTCCTGGCCTTTTTATTTTTTTAAAGAGCTTTATTGTCATATAAATCACATCTTATACAATTTACCCATTTAAACCATATTGTTGGATGGTTTTTAGTATATTCAGAGTTGTACAACCATCACTACAATCAGTTTTAGAATATTTTCAATATCTTGAAAGGAAACTGCATACTTCTTAGCTATCCCGATTCCTTCTGAGCAATCACTAACCTACTTTCTGTCTCTAAAGACATGCTTAACCACTTGAGGAACTACCAGACTATTATCTGAGGTGGTAACACCATTTTACATTCCCAACAGCAGCAAACAAGAGTTCCAATTTCTCCACATCTTCCCCAATCTTTTTTATTACCTGACTTTCTCATTACAGCCAACCTTGTGGGTATGAAGCGGCATCTCAGTGTAGTTTTGATTTGCATTTCCCTGGTGACTAATGATGTCGAACACCTTTTCTGGTGCTTATTGGCCATTTGTTTATTATCTTTGTAGAAATGTCTTTTCAGATTCATTGCCAATTGTAAAATTCAGTTATTGGTCCCCTTATTCACACTCCTTATCATCACACATAATTTACGGGTATTTTTTTTCCCATTCTGTGGGTTGTCTTCACTTTCTTAATAGTGTCCTTTGAAACAAAAATGCTCCTAATTTTGATGAAGTCCAGTTTATCTCTTTATTCTTTTGGGGTTTATGCTTTTAGTGTCATAGCTAAGCATTCACTGCCAAATTCAAGGTCATGAAGATTTACTCCTATATTTTCTTCTATGACTTTTACAATTTTAGCTCTGACATTTAGGTCTATGACTCATTTTAAGTTAGTTTTTGTATGTGGTACGAAATAAGAATCCAACTTCATTCTTTTGCATGTGGCTGTTTGACCTAGCACAACTTGTTGAAAAGACTACTATTCCCCCATTAAATTGTCTTGGCACTCGTCAACAAACAAAAAAAAATCCCAGTTGACCATAAACATATGGGTTTATCTCTGAACTCTCAATTCTATTCTATTGACCTATATGTCTATCTTTATGCCAGTATCACAGTGTCTTGATTACTGTTGCTTTGTAATGTTTTGAAATTGGGAAGTTACTTTCCTCTTCTTTTTTCAAGATTGATTTGGCTATTCTGGGTCCCCTGTAATTCCATATAAATTAGTAATTCATATGGAGCTATTAGTATAGTCACTTAAGCTTTCTGTGGTTGCTGTTTGCATAACTATCTTTTCCCATCTCTTTACATTCAATCTACTTATATCTGTAAATCTATAGTTAGTTTCCTGTAAACACCAGATAGGTACATCTTGCTTTTTAAAAAACCCATTCTGATCATCTCTGTCTTTTGATTGGACTGGTTGATCCTTTCACACAGTATTATTATTGATATAGTTTGATTTACATCTGCAATTTTATTTTTTGTTTTCTTAATATCTCAGGTGTTTGTTTCTTTACTGCTTTCTTATTGCATTAAGTGCATATTTCTTAATGTAGCCTTTTAATTTTTAAATAATTTTTAATTATTTTTGAACTATTTCCTTTGTGGTCACTCTAAGCTACTCATATACACCTTAACTTATCAGAGCTTCAAATTTATACTAATTCTAGTGAAATATAAAAACACAAATCCTATAGACTATATAGCTCTATTTCTTTCTCTCCCTTTTTGTGGTATTGTTATACTTATTACACCTACACATGTTAAAATCCAAAAATACACTGTCGTAATTTTTACTTTTATGTCTTTCAAAGAAGTTAAGAAAACAAAGGAGAGCAAATATATATCTTAACTTCTGCTTTATAGGTCCAGCATTTCTAATCCAAAGATCCAAAATTCTGAGTACTTCAAAATCTAAAAGTATTGGAGCACTGACATAATGCTGTAATTGGAAAATTCCACACCTGACTTCATGTGACAGGCTGCATATACTATTTATAAATATTGTATAAAATTACCTTCAGGCTACATGTTTAAGGTGTATATAAAACATAAATAAATTTCATCTTAAAAAAAAAAAAACAACACACACACAAAATTTCATCTTTAGACTTGAGTCCTGCTACTAAGATAATTCATATTATATATGCATATAATCCCAAATCCAAAGGAATCTGAAATACGAAACACTTATGTTCCCAAGCATTTTGGATAAATTATACCGATCCTGTATTAACCTTCTTATTTATCATTTCTGGTTTTTTTCCTCATTATTCCTGAGTTTTTGAGTTACCATGTGGAGTCTTTTCCTTAGGCTAATACTGTTTTGCTCTCACCACCTCCTCTGTACTGTAATTGGTAAAATACTATATATATTATAAGCCCAACAATATTATTTTATACAAATGCTTTTTAAAACCCAGTTAAGAGAATAAGGGTGAAGAAATGTACAATTATACTATCTTACTAATTACATGATAACCTTTACTAGAGTTCTTTTGTGTGTATGTGGATCACATTACTGCCTGGGGTTAGTCTCAGTCTGAAACACTTCTTTTAGCATCTTTTTTAAAAGTGGGGTGTTTGCAATAAATTCTCTCAGTTTTATTTGAGAAGTCTATTTCAGCTTCAATTTTGAAAGGTAGCTTTGTGGAAAAAAGATGATTCTTGGTTGACAGGTCCCCCTCCACCCTTCTGCTTTAATCCCTCTGAATGTTCTCCCACTGTCTCTGGCCCCCACTGTTTCCTCTGAGAAGTCAGCTGTTAAGCTTACTAGGGTTTACAGGTAGAGGATGAGTCATTTTTCTCTGGCTACTTTCAAGATATTCTCTCTACCTTTAGCTTTTGGCATCGTCACTATGATGTTTCTGTTTGTGGATCTTTTTGCTTTTACCTTACCTGGAGTTAGCTGAACTTCCTGAATGTATAGGTTAATATTCTAGAATAAACTTAAAAAATTTTTAGACATTTTATTTTCAAATATTTTTTCTGCTTTCTCTCTTCTTCTGGTTCACTTGTTATAGATAGGATGCACTTAATGGTGTTTCACATTTCTCAACAGCTCTTTTCATTTTCTTTATATTTTTCCCTCTGTGCTTTAGATTGTATGATCTATATTAATTTATCTTCAAGTTTGCTAATTCTTTCCTCTGCCAGTTCTAACCCACCAATGAGCCCCTCTAGTAAACTCAGCTTTTGAACTTTAACTCCAAAATTTCCAATTGGTTCTTTTCATATAATTTCTCTCTATTGTTACCATACTTTCCTTTTCATCAGTTATCACACATTCCTTTAGTTCTATGAATATATTTATAATAGTTACTTTGAAGTCTTTGTCTGTTAAAGACAATATCTGACAGATCTTACTGGCAGTTTCTGTTGCCTGCTTTCTTCTCAGCATATGGAATATACGTCTCTGTTTCTTTGCACATCCTGTAATTTTTTAAATTAAAATTGGGCTTTTAAAAAAATGAAGTCTACTCCACCTCCTGCCCTCTCCTGCCTCAGACATTGCTGTAGAGGTGGTATAACCTTGGGTATGCCTACAGTCTCCAAGTGAAGACAATGGTTTTGGTAGGACTCTCTTTGATTGCCCCTTTCCCTGATTACAGTAAGCTGTTAAGCTCTGTCAATTAATTTCTAGGTGACTGCTTTAATGTTTTTAATAATATCTTGGGGCATAAATTGTTTTAAGGACTAATCTAATCAAATTCAGGCTCCTCTGAGGTCAGTGTTTGAGGTTTGTTCTGATCAAAGAGCTCTATACCAAAGTGCTGGAATTACAGGTGTGAGCCATTATGCCAGACCAATAAATGTTATTTTAAGGAAATCACTGGAAGTAAGGCTGATAAGAATGAAAACAAAAGGAGTAAAATCAAAAGACCCCTAAAGGTTTGCCCCCAAAATCCGTTTAGATATTCCAGCAAAAACCTAAGTAAAAAAAAGTATGATGCTCTCTCTTGATATATATACAAATTGCCTTTAATACTGAAGTCAGACTGAACAACCACTATTTGAGAGATTAAGAAATAGAATCAAAGGAAGTAGCCCTTAAATAATCTATTTGCCTCAAGGGGAAAAAAAAGCCAAAACTAAAACAGATCATAACATCTCAGTTTTTAACCATTTTATCATACCTAACCTGAGCTACCAGCTGGAGTTTATTCTTTAACCATGATCCATATCAAGGGATATAAAAGAACCATCCATTTTGTAACTATCCATTTAATTGATGGGAAACAGTCGTTTCTTAACTTGTGAACAGAAAATGGTAAGGAAAATAAGTTTATAAAACAAACTAACCTTGTGGTTCATTGACTAACACCAAGCATTTTAAAATGCCAGGGAGGAGTACTTCAACTTCACAAACATCTGTGTTAGTTTCCTTGAAGAGTTGGAGAATGAAGGCCAGAATGGATGCTAAGCGAGGAGGAGGTGAGGACCCCTTATACTCAAGGTAGGATTTCCTTAAAAGAAGCAAAATTTTGTTTCTTCTCTGTTTAAAGCTTCAATAGAGCAAAACCAAATGGCATATACTTTGAAGATACCAGCAAAATTTACCCCCCAAATTAATACAATGTCACTTTTAAAAAGTATGTATATTTTACCATGCTATCTTCAAACATAATTTTTTAGAAGCAATAACTGACTGTATATCCTTTTGATATGCTCTCAGGGCCAAAGCACAATACAGTTAGAAACTAAATTTAAAGTAACCTTGTTTTAAAATGTACTCAAAATCCAAATGAAAGTCGAATTGTTAATTTGTGGGATGTTTTTCCTTCTAATACAAGTCTGATCGCTTCTATTCGGTCCTCAATGCTGCAACATTTTCTCTAATGTCTAATTTGTATAAGGAAATCTCTCTTCACATCTATTTATTTAAGGGACTTGGGAGGGGTATTATTTAACCAAATAAACAAGAGAACTGTCCTAGGATTTAGATAGGACATTCAAGCTTTATCTCCTTCCTTTCTCCAATAAGTTAAAGGATCAGAGAACTAATTTAGGGTTTAGTATTATCTCTCAGGACAAATTTTAGTACTAGAACTCAAGAGAGATCACAAGGTTAATACTTTGTCTGACTCATCTTAGTATATTCTCACCTCTTAGAACAGGTCCAGGCTTATAACAAGTGTTGAGTATACATTTATTAAGTGAATAAACAAAAGTTGGAATAGCTTAGTTTCTAAAAATGTCTAGACAATATGAAAATTTGTCAAATATAGCTAAATATAAACTAGATATCCATATATATATTTGCAAAGTAATAATGATTTACCATAATAAGGAATAGAAACCACTAAGTATAATAAACTTAGGGACAGGGACTATGTCTTAGTAATTATTGCTACTCTCTATAGTGACTTCCAACAAATACTACATAGTAGAAAATTCATTCTTTGAGGTTTGTCTAAGTTTACTGGTGAATTCCTAACGCCTAGAACAAACATATACTGGGCACTTGCGGAATGCCAGGTATATGTCTAAGAACAAGAATATAAAATTGAGTAAAATAGGGTCTCTGAAACCAAGAGGCCCACCATTGAGTGGATAAGTTAAATGAGAAAAAGAAAAAGAAATTTATAATATAGTATAATGGTGCTTTTGACAAAGATAAGCACAGAATTCTCAGGAATTCAGAGGAAAGAGTCCTAACTCAGATGAGGGAGTGCAGGAATAGAGAACCATGGCATGGAAGAAGTTAGATTTTTCCTGAGAGAGAGAGAGACAGAGAGAGAGAGAGAGAGAGAGAGAGAGAGAGAGAGAGAGAGAGAATACATATATAAAGGTTACATTTTAAGTCTTCAACTATAAACCACAAGAAAAGCATTTTTACTATATGTTAAAAAAAATAGGAAAATCAACTAATCCTGGGATCCTAAACACTGAGGGTTTAAACAGTTTTACAGATTCAATTTCACTTCAGCATTTGTCATTTAGTTTGTACTAAAATTACTTAAGTAATATTTCAAACACTGTGGTAGGTTACTACAATCTTGCTGGAAATTCAGATACAAGTAAGGCAAAACTAACATGATTCTGCAAATTGAGCTGTACAGGGCATATGATTTCAAAAAAGGAAAGAAACATACATGGTACACACTGATATATCAGGTGTAGGTTTTATAAAGGATAGGTGGGATTTAGGCCCAGAAGGATGACATTTTAATGGAGAAAATGCTTTGAATAAAGCCATGGCATAGGGAGGTATGAGGCACTTTGGTGGGGCGATACCAGTCTTATTAGGAGTTGCATGACACCCTATGTAATACATTTGAAAACGTTAAGATCGCAGAGAGGTAAGGAGCATGAAATTTATTTCACAGGCAAAAACGATATTGTAGGTTTAATGCCAGGGAAGTTTCATAATGAAAGAGTATTTTAGGAAAAGTAATTTGGGGGTATTGTTTAGTCTGGACTAGAAGAAAAGACTAGAGATGCAGAAAGCAGTTAGGAGATTCTGACAATAGTCTAGGTGTAATGTACTAAGGGAAGAGAAATAGAAAAAGGAGGACAGGATTGCCAAAAAATGGGCAAGGATAGGAAGCAAAGAAAAAGCTTCCACAACTGAGTAACAGGACATTAGGAACTCAAAAAGGCGAGAGGGGAAACAGATTTTAGGCATGGAATTCTATAATGAGAGGTAACAGATATTATTGGATCACTAAAAAATAGAGAAAACCAATACTAGAGAAGAATAACATATATCACCATAGCATCTTAAAGTTTAAAAACTAATTCCATATAAAAATAAATACCACATGAAGATAAGACAAAACATTTTTTATTATGAACTTTCTTAAAGGATATGGAGTTAGTACAAAATTTAAGAAGTTTCATTTTTCGTTTGCTTAATAAAACTGAGTTAAGAAAAGAGTAACAAAATAAGACTTCAGAGTACTTCATTTCCAATATTAGCATTCATTTTTTCACTTAATTATCTTTATAAAATATAATTAATATATTTTATTTTAGTTTTTTGAGGTGGTGTCTCGCTCTATCGCCTAGGCTGGAGTGTAGTGGTGCAACATCAGCTCACTCCAACCTCTGCCTCCTGGGTTCAAGTAATTCGCCTGCCTCAGCCTCCTGAGTAGCTTGGGTTAGAGGCATCCGCCACCATCCCTAGCTAATTTTTTTGTATTTTTAGTAGAGACCAGGTTTACCCATGTTGGCCAGGCTATTCTTGAACTTCTGACCTCAAGTGATCCGCCTGCTTCTACCTCCCAAAGTGCTGGGATTACAGGTATGAGCCACCATGCCCAGTCAACTATAATTACTGTATTTTATACAGTATAAAAAACAACTATTATTTATTTGATGAACACTAAAAAGCAAAAATTTATCTCCAGGACATATATAAGAAAGGTAATAGCTACATAGAGAAAACAGAAGCAATTTAAAGAGCATTGTCTTAGGGTACATAAGCAAATGTCATTTAATAAATTCTTAGATAATGCTTCTTAAGAAAAAAAAAAGCTTCTGAATTACCAGTATCCTAAGGGTTGCCAACATTTCTGAAATGCCACTTTATCATTTTTTAAGAGATTAATAATTTGTATATAACACCTATATTTAATATTTAGAGGTACCTTATGACTTGTACAATGCATTTTTTTAGAGATGATATTGGTGGAACAATGGCTGTGTTTCTCAAAGCCAACAAAACAGGATGTTGTCCAAGATCTGAAACGTATGGTGAAGCTGGAAGAAATCGCCCAATATACTGCTCAATAACATTCCCTAGCAATTGATTCAAATAGGCATTTGGATTTTGAGATTGACAACACACCATGCCCTACAAGGAAAAAAAGTAAGAAATACTAAGAGGTAAAGTTTCAAAAACAAACAATATTTAGATACTAATGCAGTCCCAGCATTAATATTCAGGTGAGAACAAAACAATCAAAAATGATACCTCACATAATCAATAGACAATGTACATATATATGAACTGCAAGGAGTTAAGCCTGGGTAATACGTATAAGCATGCATGCCTTTGAGGCATGAACAAAGGAAGCAGGGGAGAAGTGTAGAAGACAAAAGCAGATTCTTTGTCCTCTAATAGTCAGAAAACTTGAACATCTTGTTCATCAACTACATTTACATGTAGTTACAAAGTTATAAAATATCTTTAGGTCATTTTTTTTCTATATACTGGTTATTTTGTCTAAGACTAAAATACGATTTTTGCTAAAAGTCTTCTATGCTAAATATGTTATCATTTTTTTTTTTCTGAGACGGAGTTTCGCTTTTGTTACCCAGGCTGGAGTGCAATGGCGCGATCTCGGCTCACCGCAACCTCCGCCTCCTGGGTTCAGGCAATTCTCCTGCCTCAGCCTCCTGAGTAGCTGGGATTACAGGCACGCGCCACTGTGCCCAGCTAATTTTTTATATTTTTAGTAGAGACGGGGTTTCACCATGTTGACCAGGATGGTCTTGATCTCTTGATCTCGTGATCTACCCGCCTCGGCCTCCCAAAATGCTGGGATTACAGGCTTGTGCCACCGCGCCCAGCCTATAATTTTTTTAAGTGATAATAAAGGGTGAAGAATATGGAAATTAAGACTCAGAATAACAATTTACTTAGTTTTCCTGTATCAGGCACTGTGCTGTGTGCTTTATATTCACAATTTCATTTAAATTTCTCAAAAAAAAACCATTGAGTTAGTAATATTGTATCTCCATTTTACAGTCAGGATAACTAAGATTTAAAGAAGTACAGAGTTTAATAAAGTCACACAGAATTCTTAACATCTTGTTGCATGTCTGTTTAATCTCTTCCATTTGTATAGTAGTTAACAAAATACTTTTATATATATTACAGTATTTAATACTTAAGCAATTAAACCAATACCCTGAGAGGAAAGACTGTTTTCTGCTAGTACTACTAAATATTAAGTGCTACTAAATACAGATAATCACCAACACAGCAATATATTAAATTCTAAAAGTTAACTCTTAATTTGGCACTTGGTGATTCAAATGTGTTTTCCCAGAGAAATAATTTAAAATGTTTGAAGTCTCCATTTTAGTTGTAAATGGGTATTTACCCAATAAGAAATTCTGAAAGTTTATTTGTAATGTAAAATAGCATACACCAAATATGTAAAACTGTTAAAACTGTACCAAATAAACAATGGAAAAATAAAAAAATGAACCCCCACAACCCTCCCGCCACCAACTCTGTTTCTACATTAAATTAGAAGAAAATGAAGTAATAAATAAATATTTTCTGAAAATTCCAAAGAGAGCTAGGTACCATGAAGAAATTAAAGGCATAGCTCCAGTTCTGCCAAACATATAATACACCTAATTTTTCAATTTACCACTTACAAAGCTTATGAGAATTCTTATTAAATGAACTGTTTGGGTTTAAGAGGATCAAACACCACATGTTCTCACTCACAAGTGGGTGCTGAACAATGAGAACAGATAGAAACAGGAAGGGGAACATCATCCACTGGGGTCTGTTGGGGAGTACTGGGGCTAGGGGAGGGATAGCAGGGGGTGGGGAGATTGGAGAAGGATAACATTAGGAGAAATACCTAATGTAGGTGATGGGGGGATAGCTGCAGCCAACCACCATGGCATGTGTATAACTATGTAACAATCCTGCACAATCTGTACATGTACCCTGGAACTTAAAGTATAATAATAATAATAATAAAAAATTTAAAAAAAAGAGGACAACATGGAACAAACATTCCAGACTCTCCTGCTGCCCACTATTCCCCTCTATTCATCTCTCCCTCTGTGAGACTGGCAGTTCAGGCTGTGCTGTGGCTGTCTTCCCTTTTTATTTTTCTGCCAGATGATACACTGAACTTGGTATTAAATGCTATTATGAATAGAAGTTAGAGGGACAACTTAAAACTTCAGAAATCTTAAAACTTTGTTAAGAAATATATCTTTGAAAAGAGATTGTTACCTTATCAAAAGCCATTTTCCCCTTCCTCCTCAGCTTCCCTTATTGGACCTCAAATTAAGAAGCAAAGTATACCTCCAGCCTCATTGTTTCCTGAATGGCAGATCAGTATTTCCAACTCTGTACCTCACACTAAAGCTCCTTACCTTCATTCCGGCAACTCCAGGAGTTCCCATTAGTAAGTAGAACTACTATCTATGCAGGCAGCCACTCTAGAATCTAGGAAGTATTTAATTTCTTTGAGTTTCTTCACAACACTCACTTAGCAAATACTCTTAATCACAGCTCCCAAATGTTTTGAAACCTGCTCTATGGGCTTTATTCCCACTGCCTGAGGTCAAAACCTTCTGACAATATGTGGATTATTATAATGAACTAGTCATCACTACTTTCCAAAACCTTTATACCAACTATCTTACATGTTGCCACCAGAATAATCTTTCTAAAATGTAAATATCATTATGTTACTTCCACTTTTCTCCTCCAAATTCATCAGGTCCCCATGTAAAAGATTAAGTCCAAACTTCTTAGGATAGAATAGAAAGCCCTCCATTATATGGCTCCTCCCATATGAATCTCCAGCCACAAGAGAACCATTTGCCTTTCCCCAGTGTGTCATATTTTCTTAAAGCTCATGCCCTTGTACATGCTGCTGCTTCTGAAATGAAAAGCCCTCCAACTTTTACCCATTTTGCTCTTTTACACCTGATGTCTTCTACAGTGTATTCTCTTATATCTTGTCACCCCTAGTCTGACTGATAGATGAGGTCTGAAAAAAAAACAAAAACAAAAATGGAACACACTACCACGTCTGTGCTTATCTACTTCCTGTCTCAACTTTAAGCTCCTCTGCTTTTTCATTTTTGTTTCCAAAGCCAAACATAAAAGTAATTTAAAATATGCTCAACGAATGTGCCACACAAGCACTTTAGACTACAGTGTATGGTTTTTAAATCTACACTTGGTAAACTATGTTTTTCAAATTTTCAATTTTTTTAACTCACAAGTAACCACAAATACTATACCTGGAGATACAAAGGAAGACTTTTCTGAATTGCAGAAAACATAGGTGCAGGCAGTTCCTTCCCTTGCTGTAATACTGTATGTGGCAGCAGTAAACAATCTATGATCCGGAAAAGTAATTTTTGGGCTTTAGAGGTGGCAAAGATTTGTGCCCATGATTTCACAAGAATTCCTAACAAAGAAGAGAAGTAACAGTAGTTGTGGTTATCATCTGACCAAAAGATTTTGTCATTTAATTTAAAAATTTGTACTGAAGCACATGAGACCAAATTAAAATAGGGAAAAGGAAGAAACAGATATTAGAAGTAAAAAATACTTATGTCAATTTATATATTTGACTAAAGAGACAAATTTTTCTTACAGTTCTGGGCCAAGGAAAACATACATTTTCTGAGCAACTGGCATTTAATATATACACAGGTTAACTATCCCTAATCTGAAAATATAAAATCTGAAATGCTCCAAACCAAAAATTTTGTGAGTGCCAACATGATGCTCAAAAGAAATGTTCATTAGAACATTTCAAATTTCACACTGTTGGATTAGGGTGCTCAACTGCAAGTATTCCAAAATCCAAAAATATCTAAACTCCAAAATACTTCTGGTCCCAAGAATTTCAGATAAGGGCTATTCACCGGTTTACACTCACACATACAGTGGAATATATTTATACAATATGTGACTATATAGACTGAATATTGAAATTATTTGGATTTCCTGATTTGCTTTCCCTATGGGTTGGTAGGATGTCCAGGTGCAAATTAACAATCCACCTTTTAAAGACTATAGCAGGATTATACGTTACAGTTTTATATGTATACTAATTTTCCCTAGGTCTCATCATAAAACTTTCCATTTATTTTCTTGGTACCCCTATTTCTTTATATTTTAATCTAACATATAATTTTATAAGTGGCCTCAATCCAGTTTGCAACAAGAAGTATAACTAAAGTTAATTGTTAAAATAGGGGAAATAGGATTAACCTACATGAATTTTGGTTAACCTTCATAAACTGCAGTTTTTATACCTTGCAATTATTTAATATAAAGGAACAGAATTTTAATTCTAAATAGAGGAAACAGCCTTCTTTGCTACCTCAAATATATTACGGCTTCCTTGGTGCTAGAAGTCTATCAATTGCCACATCTCATGATAATAAAACTTAACAAATGAGCACCTTTTGTTTAACAAAGTAATTAGGAGCAGATATATAATTCCCATTAGGATATATTATTGGTATTGAGGTCTACTTTCTGAAAAATAAATTCAAAACAGATTAAGTACTTAACCAAAAAGCACAGTGGTACATCTACTGCATAAAAGCAAACAAGAAAGTCATTTCTATCAAACAAAAAGTTTAAAATTTAAGCTCTGAGGGAAAACAAAAATATGCTCATGGAAGAGTATATTAATGTTAAAGAAAAAACTCAACCAATGATCACTTCTAAAAACAACAAACAACAATGTTGTTTTTCTGTTACAAAAGTACAATAATCAATCATAAAGAAACATAATGTTTATGTAGCAAAATTTTATATAATGCTGGCTTGCTCCTCATTTCTTCAATTGGCGGAAAATTTTCAGTATGACAGCAATACAAGAAGAACTTATATTCTAATAATATAAGATACTGTAAGAGGAACTGCTATCACCACTGGCATATGAAATGACTCCTATTACTCTCAGGTAGCATACAAGTATGTTTCACTTTCTACAGTTTTAGTTACCCATGGTATAGGGCACCGCATGGTACAGTTTAGTTACTTGTGGTATAGGGTACCAATAAGATAGTTTGAGGGACCAGGGAGAGGCAGGGGAGAAAAAACATTCACATAACTTTTATTACAGTCTATTGTTACAATTGTTCTATTTTATTACATTCTATTGTTACAATTGTTCTATTTAATACAGTCTATTGTTACAATTGTTCTATTATATTAGTTATTGTTAAACTTTTATTGTGCCTTATTTATGAATTAAACCTTATCGTAAGTATGCACATACAGGCAAAAACACAGCATACATAGAATTGGTACTACGTGTGGTTTCAGGTGTCCACTAGTGGTATTGAAACACATCCCCATGAGTAAGGGGCAACTACTGTATTTCATTTTCTGCAACAGTTAAAACACTTTGCTGAAGACTTTAAACTTTATAAGTTCATATAAGGTGGAGATATTTGTTTTACTGCTTGCTATCAGATGCCTACTTTTTAGGTTTCAGCAACAAACATTTGTATGTGTTTGTGTGAGCGTTATTAAAATGCAAAACATAAATATAAAAAGTTTTTTTTTTTTTTTTTTGAGACGGAGTTTCACTCTTGTTACCCAGGCTGGAGTGCTATGGCGCAATCTCGGTTCACCCCAACCTCCACCTCCTGGGTTCAGGCAATTCTTCTGCCTCAGCCTCCTGAGTAGCTGGGATTACAGGCACGTGCCACCATGCCCAGCTAATTTTTTGTATTTTTAGTAGAGATGGGGTTTCACCATGTTGACCGAGATGGTCTCGATCTCTTGACCTCGTGATCCACCTGCCTCGGCCTCCCAAAGTGCTGGGATTACAGGCTTGAGCCACCATGCCCGGCCCTATAAACAGATTTTTAAAGTAAAAAACTGGGAAAGGTTTAAATACAGTACTTTTGTAAAAACCCAAGATTTTTTCCTTTTCCTGGCTATATATTATTTATGAATAAAACCAAAAATATTTAAAAAATTAATACAATCTCCCCATTCAATGATAACCACTATACAAGTTCGAGTATTCACTTGTTTTCTATCCTCTTGTATTTTCTACCCTACGTATTTTACTTGTTTTCTACCCTACATAAGAACTGGGATCACTACAATATACATTTTAAAATCTTTATCATTAGAATGTAATTTTGCTCATTTAAGAATATTAAAGGCTGTGTACAGTGTCTCACACCTGTAATCCCAGCACTTTGGGAGGCTGAGGCAGGCAGGTTGTTTGAGCTCAGAAGTTCAAGATCAGCCTGGGCAACATAGTGAGACCCTTTCTGTACAAAATATACAAAAATTAACCAGGCAAGGTGGTACACATCTAAAGTCCCAGTCTCAGCTACTCAGGAGACTGAGGCACAAGAATTGCTTGAACCAAGAGGCAGAGGTTGTAGTGAGCTGAGATCACACTACTGCACGCCAGCCTGGGTGATGGAGTGAGACACTGTCTCAGAAACAACAAAGAAAAGCATACGCGCACATACACACACACACACACACACACACACACACACACAAACACAACCTTTAAAAAATGTATTATGTACCACTGCTAGGTTAAGAAAGTTATTACATTCCACAAATATTTATATAGTATACACTATCTCCTACTTTGAAGCTCTTTAACTAATATATGCCTAACTCCCCATCCAGCACCTGATACATAGTAAATGTTCAAAATACATGAAAATGAGAATTAAAAATTCAAAAGATATGGCCACTACAAGTTTGAAATATGGTAGGGGCATGTCAAGTACACAATTATTGTAACAAGTGGCAAACTATAAATAATATCACAAGAAAAGGAGAGATGAAGTGCAATCAGAGACATAATCAAGTCTACTTGGGAATGTGGGAAAGGTGGGGAAATTTGTGCTTGGTACTGAAGGGTCATGACTTGAATTTCAATTACAAAGCAAAATGGGGAAGAATGACCAAAGAGATAGGAATGACTGAAAGTTTTATACATAGAAACAGAAAACTATGAGATATGAAGAATAAGAAAAAGAAAACAAAATCTATAGAGAAGTTGTTTTACTGATGAATTCATCCTGCCTTTTCAGAAATTACTGAGCTGCAATTAAAATCACAGGTGCCTTCTCCTTAATATGAAGGGTGATTTCATCAACAGTTCTGTGCCTTTCACTAGCAGTCTTGCAACCTTGTAAGGGAACAGCTGAGGTGTCCCCAGTTAGGAACTGTCAAGGTACATAAAGAACAATATTTCAGTGGTTAACTCCTTCTCTCAAATGGTTATGCTATCCCAACCCACAACACACTATAAAACACCTTGGAACTCTCCAAAGTTTATACTTTGCTCTTTCTTTGTTTTATTCTAAATCTTTAACATAAAGAAATCTTTAAGTTATCTGTCCTAATTTCTAACACATAAATGGGCAACACAAATAAATGTCGCAATATACTCTTCCCAGTCTTTGAGGCCTAGAAAAAAGAAAAGAATACAGCTCTGCCATTGAATCAAAAAGCAAGGCAGCAGAACAAAGTCCTCACTTTTTCCTAAGTAGACTTTTGCCCCACATCTATAACAGATATTCAGCTTGGCAAAAATCGAAATCTGGAAATGGAAAACTTTTTTAGACACTAATAAATTATAAGCATGAATGCCAATTTACTTATTTAACTGTATTTTACTGTTAAACTTACAATAAACTCTCACTTCTATTTTTCTCTAAAATTAAGATGCCTGAATTGCTATAGCTTTTACCATAATTTACATCCACCACATTTACACATTTTCACATTCTCCTTTATCTTTCACAACAAAGATCAAAGGTTCCAGACAGCCAGAATCAAGCTTATTCATACATTCATAGGATTAAAGGGAATAGATATAAGGTTTTGACCACAGAGAAATTAAAAAAAAACCCCAAACTTAAATTCTATATAAAATCTTCTTAAAAAAAATCTTTCTCCAATTCCTTTCTCCAAACCTTTATCCAATTTCTAGTTTTGGTTAGTTGGCACCACAGTTTTAATAAATAAAGATATGTTAATTACTGACTTTGTAAAGAAAGAAAAACTCCATTGTTATAGAACAGGCACAGAAAAAGATTACTTTTTGAAAAGAGAGGAGAATTGTGAAAAACAAGATTTGAGGCATAAATATTTTTAGTGCTATATTAAATCCTATCTCCTTCATACAGAGCAGACCATAGAAGTGATTGTAAGCAACAGTTTTCTGATGTTTTAAATTCTAACAGATCAGCTTTTTTTTTTTTTTTTTAAAAAAAGGTCCATTCTGGTTATTTAGGTATTGAAATGTGACTCATGACAGACTACTGGAAGCAACTGGTGCTAGCATATTTTCTGTATTGATCATAATTTTAATATTAACACAATAAAAAGTATTGAAAAGACATAGAGCAAGAAGGTCAACATGAATAATTTTAAGCTAAATCACTGTATTTCAGATAACTCTTATGGACTGCAGTAATTTAGTCAATATATTCCTATCCATCATGATAGTATAGGTTCAACCTAAGGAAATGTTATTAGCAAAATAATGTCAGGAATACATACCCATCATTCTGTAAGTGAGCTGTAGCCCTGCACTGAAAACTTTTTTTCCCAAATAAGGCTTAATATATTTTAATATGTCACCAAGGTATTCCAAGGACTTTGTGACCATGGCAGATTTATCAGAAAGTGTCTGAAGAGTCCCGTAAGTTATGCCAACAGCCTATTAACAAAGAAAAACATTAAGTAACTTTACAAGTTTTATACCATAAAGATTTAGAACATAAAGATAATTCTTCTCTCTTTTTCTACATCCACAACCATAGCCCTTTACATTTAAGCCTTCATTTGTAACCTTCCAATAAAAATTCATAGCAATTAAAATACAAGTAAAAATAATTAAGTCTTGTCTTTTATTATTAAAATAAAGGTTAAAGGAAAAATTTTTTAAAACTCACCAATAACTACTTATAGAAGGGACAACTTAGTAAAACATAAGTTAAAAAAAAATAACAAAAAACGTGAAACTGATATACACGTACCTTGTAACTAAATCACATCATGACTTCCAAATAGGTTGGCTCAACGTATTTCCCAGTATATGACTAGGAATTCAAAATCCCCAAAATCCCCTACAAGGAAGACCTCTAAGTAATGCCAATTTTTTACAAGTAAAACCTCTAAAAAGTTCAGCTTTATGATATGAATTAACTTTTCTTCCTAGAATTTTATGAGCCATCTGATGCCAACCTAACATCTCAGAAAGAAAAAGGATGGGGCAGAGAAGGTAGAGATAGCAAAATGGAGAGGCAGTAGAGAGAAATGTGAGGAAAGTCAGTAAGAGAAGAATAGAGATGTGAGAAAAAGAGGAAAGGAAATAAATAAGAGAATTGAGGAAAGGTGAGAATAAGCAAGAGGTGAAAGGTCACAAAAGAATCAAGAGAAGACTGGCTAGAGATGGGTTAGAAAGTTTAAGGAAAGTGGCTGAGCATGGTGGCTCACACCTGTAATCCCAGTACTTTGGGAGGTGGAGGTGGGCGGATCATGAGGTCAAGACCATCTGGCCAACATGGTGAAACCCCTTCTCTACTAAAAATACAAAAATTAGCCAAGTGTGGTGTCATGCGCCTGTAGTCACAGCTACTTGGGAGGCTGAAGCAGGAGAATCGCTTGAACCAGGCAGGCAGAGGTTGCAGTGAGCCAACATCACCCCACTGCATTTCCAGCTTGGCAACAGAGGAAGTCTCTGCCTTAAGAAAAAAGAAAGTTTAAGGAAAGCAGTAAAATTTTCAAACAATTTTTGGGAACTTATCATGAATTGCAGTGATGCAAATTGGACCATGAATGGCACCAATACAAAAAGTTCTGTGGGTTTTCTTCTCCAGTTCTCAGTGTGTAAGACAAAGGATAGAGAGTAGGTGGTTGCACTGAGCCAGGGTTGAGAGTTTGTAGGTGTGACCAAAAGAAAAAATAAGACTGTAAGAATGTTGGTAAGAGTAGTTGAAGTAAGGCCCCAAGGAGTCTAATTAGGGGCCTAGTAAATAGGGAAGGAAGTGAGGTCTTGGGAGAATGTTGTACTGGGATAAAAGGGAGAGGAAGGTCACAATATGGTCACTCATGAGATGGAGGGACAGGTGATGGTCAAAGAGCTTTCAGATGCTTCAAGAGATTACACTGCTCAGGGTCTAGTCATGGAAGTGGATGGATGAAGTAGGGCAGAAGTGAAAGACTACTTCTTTCACTGAAATACAGAAAGAGTACTAGAGAAGCTTTGAAATGAAAGCTTAATAGAAGTTATCCATGGTGACATTAAAGTTGGACATGTTGACAATAAAATGGAAAATGGAAAAAAGATAGGGAACTCAGTGAACCTGAATGAGTGACTATGAGATCAGCAGATGAGAACAAGAGATAAACTTGACTAATCCTCTTTCTCTCTATTTAGCTCTCTGCCCTTTGTTTTCTATACTTCTTTCTCTTGATTCGATATTCTCAAACCCTGGTCTCAGTTCCCTTCGGCACACTTAAAAATTGAGGACCTTGAAGAGTTTTTCCTTATTTGGGTTATATCTATCAATATTTATGATTTTAGAAAATTTTATTGACTAATTCATTGAAAAATCATAATGAACATTACATGTTAATATAAGTAATGTATTTTAGTGAAAGATTATTTTCCAAACAAAAAACATAATTAGTGAGAAAAGTAGTATTTTTAAACATTTTTACAAATCTCTTTTATGTCTGACTTAAAAGACAAGCTCGATTCTCCTATCTGCTTCTGGATATGATTTATTGTGGTATGTTGCAGACAAAGACAATACAGCCTTGAAAATATATATATGTGGCTAGAAGAGGAAGAAATATTTTGAAAGATTTTTCACATCCCCGTGTGAATTCCTCTTTGCTATTATACCAAAACTTGGAAAGTGGTATTTCTTACAGATTAGTTGTAACTAAATCATGGAGTCTAAAATGATGTCAATTAACATTTCATACTCTGTTACATTAAAAAACCATTGGTCTATCTTGTATTTGGAGTGAGTGAATCTTTTACACTCATGAATGCTTTTTAAAAAGCCTGTATTCGTTATTTGGAAAATTGTGGTTCACTGAGTGATACAACTTTCCAATGTTGACACACTTCATTATTTATATCAGGAAAAAAAAAATCACACCTATTAATACCACCACCATTCTTATCAGAAAATAAGTATTGGGAAGCTCTCAAGATCATGATGGCAAATACAAGTTTCTGAAAATTTTAATTTTCTTGAAAGCTTGAATTATATTATTAACAACAAATACTGTCAGTTGTTTGCTTTGAAGTGATAGGCTCACTTCATTCATTTTTTGAGAAAATGTCTGCCAAATAGCCAAATCTGAATAACCATACTGTGTCAGTTGCTCTTTTAAGATAAAAGCAGTCCGTTCAGCTTGCAACTCAAATAATCACACAAGTGCTTTTCACTTAGACAACCACATTGCTTTGGTATGCAGCAAAAGTGCTTTAAGTGCATTTCGCACTGTCATTCACAGAATACTAAAAGTACATGTACTCAAGAGTCAAAATGTAATAAAACAAATAATTTTATTGCTTCATTAAAGATATTCTAAAGTGAAACTGTCTTTTTCTTCTGTAAATGCATGGCAGTATAAATTATAATGACTACCAGTATAATCTTGGGCCATAGTGTTGATTCATGTAAGAGATTTTACACTATTTGTGCAAATGTCAATACAGTTTTGAGCAGGTGGTATCAGTAACTCCCAGAGTAGACTACACTTCTGAATACAAGTGCCTTAGACTTCTCAATATTTTTCTATGCTTAGGCTTAACTTCCTTAAACTAAAAGACATGCATTTCTCAGTACCTTGATTATAACGACTTATATGTCATACTATCATTTCTGTGCAGAAAAGAGTTAATATAGCAGATCTAAGACTGCTACTCTTAAAATGTCCTGTTTCCAAGCCTGGCCCTTGGCTGGTATTTGGGGTCTTAGATTTTGAAAAGCTTCCTACAATTCCTTGATCCTAAACTGTCTATCCAAACAATATGGTTTTTGCTGAATACCCGCTTTCCTTTTGGAACTGGAATTCTCTAAGTGTGAGGCAAAGAGGGCATATGTTGACCAGTCCCCAATAATAACCAAAGACAGAGTTGCTAAGGAGCTTCCCCAGCAGATAATATTTCACATCTTGTTACAATTCCTTGCTGGAAGAATGAAGCATATCCTATGTAATTTCTCTTGGAAGCTATGCCTGTTTTCTTCAGACTATTCCTCATGCATCTTTTCCTTTTGCTGATTATGCTTTGCGTCCCTCTGTTAACAAGTCATAGCTGTGAATACAACTACATGCTAAGTCCTGTGAATCACAGAACCTAGGGATAATCTTGGGGAGCCCATACACAACTTCCAACTGAGTACATTTAAAACTGAATTCCTCACCTACTTCTCCCTCACCCTAAATCATGATGTTGCTATTTCTCCTTAAGGTATCATCACTCTTTTAGTCAAACACAGAATTTAATTCATATCCATTTACAAATCACATAACCATTCAATCTTTGATTCCTTCTAAACCTCCCTAATTTTTGGTCAATAGTTCTCTGCACCTTTAATCTATACTACTATTACTAACTTTCATAAAAAAAATTAACCAAATCACAGCTACTAAAAACTTATAAAGCTTTGACATTCTTCACAGGATAAAATCCAAACTTCTTATACCAAAATACTTTAAATTCTTTACCTACTGATTGATCTGTCAACCAACTGGCACTTAGCATATAATGGCTTGTGTTATTATTTTAGTCTTTGTGTATGCCTTGTATACACAAGGCTTCCTGAGATAAAGAACGACTTCTCTATGTTTTTCAAATCCCTATGAAGTTCTAGCATAATGTTATCTAGCATTCAGTAAAAAATTAATTTTCTTAGTAGTAAAAGAACAATTAATTTGAGCTAGAGGAAAACTATCAATAAAGAAATTGATTTCCAGCTCGATTTCTGATCCATTATCGCTCCTAGAACTCCACAGGCGTTTAATTGCAGGTTCAAATCCAATCAACAACTAAACAAGGGTCTCAAAAGAAATGTGTATTTTACATCTGCATTTACTATTATCAAATATTTTTAGAGATTGTATGACATCTCGAATTATTGTACAATTGTACTTTAACTTAACAGAAACCAGTGGAAGAATTAACATTTATGGAAAGAGCTTATTGGTTTTAATTATTTTCATGGCAGCTAATACCAACCACTCTGTGGGAACATAAACCAACTTTTACAATGAATAGCTTACAAAAGACACTAATCCGAAAACATAACAACTTCAACTAGATTTGTAAAACAAACACTCTCACACAGATAAATTTCTGTAAAATTAATAATTAAAAATAAAATTTTGAATGGTACTACTTATGGAGACAAAAAAACAAAAGGATTGGATTTTAATGCTGCAACTATACTGTTATATGAAGTAGATGGTGCTTATGCCTGCTGTTCGCTACAGGGTGATAAACATTAAGGCAAGAATATTATGGACTGTTTACAAGGATATTCAGTTCTCAAGCAGCTGAAGAACGCAGTTGTCCAGCAATTATGTCAATATTCCTACAATTTAGATTAGCCTTAGAGTAGTTTTTATGTGGTATTCTTTAGTTTTATTATTCATTAATGTAATTTTTCTGCTGTCATTAAGTGTGAATTGTACAATACCTTAGATTCACATTCTTTTTCCTCCAGAATTTTTTAATTGCAGGCAATCAATAATATAATTCAATTCCCAGAGCCCAAATACAATTAAAAAAAAAAGAATTCATTTTATAGAAAAGCTTTAAGAATACTTCAGGTTTTCTGAAAATTAACTATAATTAATCTGGACAACTATACTAATAAATGAAAAATACCTCAAAGAATCGAATGAGTGCTTTTTTAGGGTCTTCTGAGATGGACGAATATTCAACTTGGGCCTTTGAGAAAATACTCTTTACTTCTGAGAGTTTAAATAGTAACCTTGTCAGTTCAATCAACTGTTCCATGTACTCTTTTTCTGTTAAAATAAAATAGTATTTGTTATATAAATTTATATAACATGCTATATACATATACACACACACAACATATATATAATGTATATATGTGAAGTAATGTAGCATTCTTCATTTATGACATACTTTCTTTTAAAATTCAAACTGCCACACAATTAAGGGCTTCAAGTTAAATTTTTCTCACTATGAACATGCTTGCCCCAATAGTTACTCATGTAACACCAACTAATATAACAAAATATAAAAGTAAATTTGGAGGATTTTTTCAGGCCAACATTCATGAAATTAACAAGTGGCTATAAACAATAGCTTTGGGAAAAGGCATGTCCTACAGACAACAGAACTGTATGGGCATTTTTTTTAAAGTACAAATATCACTCAATGCCTAGTCATAAAGCAGAAGAAAGGCAAAATCTCTAATATAATATGGGAAAGAATTATTCATAATAGGGTCTTTTTCTTTTTAGGGTGTTCACAGTGTGATATCTGGTTATTTACTTCAGAATTCTACTTTTTTTATGATCAGTTTCTTTTAAAAAAAATAGCTTGTCACCTGAGGAGCAAATTTTTGTTCTTGGCTTCCAAGGAAACAAGTTCTTTTATCTTTTACAGCAGAGAAGTTTGTCATATATTGTAACAGAAAATATATATATATATATATACACATTACACACACACACACACACACACACAGGAAAAGGCTACAAAATGAAATAAAGTTCTGCTTGTATTCATACCCAATACAAATACTTTGTATATTTTCTATTAATTTACATAACAAATGATCTAGATAGCAAATAGCTTTCCACAGTTACCTCCATCCTCCCCAAAAAGCCTACACTTACCAACTGCCTGTTCAAGATTTTTATCTCTGAGCAAATCATCAGGTCCAGAGAGGTTTTTTATATACATTTGCAAAACACAACGAATCCATGATCTTACAGTTAAGGCTTGAAAAGATACATTGCATGAATGAGACAGTTCTTCACACAATGTGCTGTAAAAACAAATTGAGAAATATTTTTAAAACAAAAACAACAATGTTTCCTGAGTATAGAGATTAAGAAGTAAAGAAAAACATTCTAATATCCCCTCAACTCCTTGGCCTCATTTATTTTTCAGACAAACACTCTAATATAGACATGCATTTTGTTGAAAATGAATACTACAGAGAAACCCAAAAAGATATGTTAGATAAATATTCTTGCTTTCATTACATTGGGGAAGAAGAAGAGAAAGAAAGTGGCTGCCAAGGAAAAGCAAAGGCTTATTATGAGATAATAATAAAGGAAATGGCAAGTAGAATAAAAATCAGTGGCCCTTAGCATAAGTAAACAGAAAAGTGGTCATGAACGTACGCTCTCTCATTATACAGAGTTGTTACTAAAAATTACCTCGCAAGGAATTCCAAAGTAACATTTGCCAGATTTAAGAAATAATTATTTCTATGAAGACAATGGGCTGGCTAAATCTGATTTCTAATCCATTCATTAGTCAGGGTAGAGAGGATGGGGATGGTCTTAACCTAAATATAAAATGTTATGTAAAGACTAAATATTTTTAAATCTATACAAATCAAAACTCTAAAAATATTGTTTTGAAATACCTTGAATGTAAGTTGTCATTAAAAGAAAAGTACACAATGAAGAAGAACACAGACTGGTCATTTATTACCTTATAACTTTCCCAAAGCTACATACACCTTTGCATTTCAGTTTCTTCAAATGTTACTAATACGCTAACAATATTATTTTTAAAATGAAAATCATTTCAAATTATTTCAGCAAGTGTTTAATACATAATATAAATGTTTATCACTATTAAAGAATTCTTAAACTAGAAGGAATTGTACAAGTAATCCAACTGAAGTTGAATTCCCTTACTTTACAACTGAAAGCCCAATGACAAAATGTATACTTATTGAGCTTCCTTAGGAAAAGACTTAGCTCACCAACTACATCTCTCTTCATTTCCATGGACCAGCAGTTTGGACAAGAACTACATTAAGATGGGGGAAAATAAAATAAATATACAGATCTAAGTGGACTAAGATCTCTTAGTCCTCTTGGCAAATGTGTTCACATGGCATAAGTGTAGGTTTGTGCTAAGGAAGAAGACAGGAAAGAATATGGCTACAAAGGGAAAAGCAAGGGCTTATTATAACTAGTTAGGTGACATAATAATGAAGGAAGTGGCAAGTGGAATAAAATTCAGTGACCCTTAGAAGAAGTAAACAGAGAGGTGGTCATAAACATATGTTCTCTCAGTCTACAAGCAGTTGTTACCAAAAGGAGAACTAAGACCTATTAGGCCTGTATATTTATTTTATTTTCCCTCATCTTGATGTTGTTATTCAAATTTTCCTGATCACTCTATACTACTTTATTTATTACATACTTTTTCTACTGAGGTTCCTCAGATCTCTTGTGTAATGTGGCAGGAAATACTTATTGATAAGGAAGACATTGTTCAGGTGATCTTGTTTATGATCTCATGAGTTAAGAGTGAAATCTTTAAAAATCTAGTGGTAAAAAAGAAAGCTATCATTATATCTAAAACTGTAATAATATGCCAGTATCTTACAGATTCAGTAATAACAAATGTGTAATTTCTTTCACAATGGGATGTATAGAAAAGTGACTTAAGGATGATGATAAAGCAGTCTTACAAAAACAATTTTGAAAGGGCTTAACCAACACTTTTTTTAAAGCAGGCCACAAAACATAAGTTGGCTTTCTTACTAATACTACTGTCAAAAGGCTGATATATCTGAAAGCAAAAACTTGATAAAGTGAGAGTATTATGTAGTAAAGAACACTTCTCATTTGTGAAAATTTTTAGCTTCCTAGGATACTGATCTCTCACGGGTTTGCATTAATGTGTATGCCTGAAATAAAAGCACGTACCTATTTTGCAGGAAATGACTTAAATATCTTGCTACAACTTGAGGACAGATGATATCATCCCAACCAAAAAGCTGAATAATTGATATAACTGGCTGAGGCTGAAAATCTGATGGAGCTGTGCTTGGCATGTCCATTGCTAGCAAAGTAAAGTCTGGATTTAAAACGAGAGAAACTTAAGGTGAGGAATCTTTAAAAACCGTTTTTGACCCACACCTCACCCCTGGCCAATTATAACAATAATAGTGTTTTTTTAAGTACCAAATAATAAAATGTTTTATTTAGAAATGTAAAGCAATCAAAAAGCCAAAACTGAACAAATCATAGAAATTTCTGTAGCATCTAGATCTCCAAGAAAGGCCGAGAAGAATTTATCTCTGCATTATTATAAATCTATAATGGCTCCCTCTAATTGCAAATTCTATGCCCAAGGTTTTGGCTAATGTGCCTCCAACATTCAAAAGACCTATTTATAAAATATGTCTAGCAACTAGTCTTCCAAGGAAGCAAATTTACTTGCCATCTGCCATAGGTGAACAGTTCACTCTCACCTTAGACATTCTTGTCTATGTCCTTAGACTGGACATTCTTGTCTATGAAACAGACATCTACAATCAATGACACTCCACTTTCTTTAGAACCTATAAAATCTAGGAACTAGAATTCTTAAGTTAACCATGCTAAACAAATATGTTTTATTTTGTGATTTTTTGGGGGGAGGAATCCATAAACTCATTTTGTTTAATATTAGTTTATTTGTCAATACATTATTTATTAAGAACTCCTCCCATGCAGCTTTCTGAAATGGTAGCTATTCTCCCACTCACCGAATACCACTTGATCTACCAATAGGGTGCAGTTACTCCTTGGTCCACATTGCTGCTTCTAGACTGTTCTCCCTTCTTCCTCCCTAATATTGCTCTCTTTGTATTTCCTATCATCAGGTTATTAGTCACTATCTTTGTTGCATTTACCTGCTACTTTCTAGTTCACTTCCTCCTCTCATTCTTTGTAGACTATAGCTCACTATCATGCTCTCCAACAGCACTTCCGTCATAATCTTTTGTGATTATTTTTCCCCAGTGCCATGAACTCTAGATCTCTTGAACTCCTCTGCTTCAATGAATCTATCTTCCATTTTACATCAGCCATTTCCTCCCTTTGTGATATCCAGAAACTTTGGCATTACCAGTAACTACAATCTCAATTTTTGACTCCAAACTAGCTTTCCAACTCTCCTCTTCTTCCCCAACTCCAACAATTCTTTGATTCCATCAGGACCTTCATTCCACTGATCCTACAACCGTTTCCACATCCCTCCTTGTCTTCATGCCTTCCCTGTCCCTCTTTAGGAAACCTGACTGCATGGTCCATTATTATTCATTTATACCACCAACTCCGTTGCTCCTTTCTTCATTTGTACTTGCCTAGAAAAATCATCACCTGTTTAATTCCAATTCTTGGCCTTTTCCCCACCTGGTACCTGCACCTGTACCAGTATTAAATGACTGGAGAAGAATCATGCTGACTGATACCACTTTACATTTATGACTACAAACTTCAAGTAGGCTCTTCGAACTGGCCAGCATGCCTACTGCATTTCTCTAGTTCATTCAGTCTTTTATTCTCTTAGGGTACAATTGCATATCTTATCTTCACTCTTCATCAACAGCCTGCACCTTCTGTCCCTTCCTCATTTTCAGCGGATGGACTGCTTAATACTTCACTGAGAAACAAGAAACAGCAGAAGAGAACTACCAAAAGCTGCTACCACATTTACCCAGTTGCATTCATGTGGGCTCATTTATTCTGCCTTCTCTTCTGCTACTAGAGATGAACTGAGGCCAAGTTCTCTATAGGATCCTATTTTCTCTTGGCACTAAAACAAAAATGACATTTTGTACCACGCAATATTCCTTCACTTTGTAGCATTCCTGTCAGCATTTTAAATATACTGAGATTTCTCTCATGTTATTTAAAAACCAAACAAAACCAAACCTTCCTCTTTAACCCCTTTAGTTACTATCCCCATTTTTCTACTTTCTTAAACAGTGATATTAAAAAAGGTTAAATTTGCAGTCTACAATCCCTTTTCACATTTTCTCTGGAATCATCTTCCATCAGGCCTTTGCCTCTCCACTACATACAAACTGCTCTTTCACGTCACCAGTGACTTTCCTCTTATTAAATCCAATGACTAACTCTCAGAACTCATCTCACTAGATCAATCTGTAGAAACTGAGCTGTTGATCACTTTCCTCTCCTTGGGCTCCAGGGCCCCACACTTACCTGGTTTTTCTTACTTTATCTTCATTCCTCTCCAGTCTCCTTTCTTGTTTCTCCTGACCCTACAAATCTGAACACAGGAATACCCTAGGGCCCAGTCCTCAAATTTTTCTTTTCATCCATACTTACTCTGTGGCTGATCTCATCCAGTTTCACGGTTTTAAAGAATTATTTATACATGGATGGTATAAATAATATATTTATATTAACAACTTTAAATTATATATTTATAATAAACAACTGTAAACTTCTGGCTTAGACCTCTTCATGAACTCTAGGATCATTATCCAAGTACCTACTTAACATGTCCACTTGGATTTAATGGACATCTTTAAAAAAAAGTCCAAAATAAAAATGTTAGTCTTCCCTCATTAAATCTGTTCTTGCCTCAATCTTCCTCATCTCAGCCAATGGCTATAGTTACCCTTAATTCCTCTCTTTATCTATTTGGTTACCATATCTTGCCCACTTAGCAAATTCTGTCAGTTCTACCTTAAAAATACTTTCTTCAGATGGAAAACCTGACCACTTCTAGTCACCTCTACTGCTACCACTCTAGCCACAGCTGCTCACTTTTGGGTTATTACAATAGTTCCCTAACTGCTTTCCTGTTTTTCTTCCCTTGCCTAGTTTTCCTTTAAGTCTAGCCTCAACCTAGTAGACAAAGGAATCTTACTACTCACTCGTCTGCTCAACACTTTTCAACAGCTTCCAATCTCAGAGTAAAAGCAAAAGTTTTTATAACCACTTACAAGGCAGAAACCAAACTAGCTCTCCATTACCTCTTGATCCATCTCTTAGTTCTTTCCCTTTCTCATTCCACATGAGCTTTTACTGCTTCCCTATAGTTTCTCAAACACACCAGACATGTTCTTGCTTTCAGACTTCTGTAAAGCATGGTGTCTCATCTCCTTCAGTTCTTTGCACAATTATTACTTACTTGGGCCTTCCTGACCACTCTATTTAAAATTACAACTGCCTCTGGCCTGCTGTATTCCTATCCTATACTTTCACTCTTTTCCACAGCATTTACCACCATGTTTTACACTATTTATTCATTTAGTGGTCTCCCCATACCCTGACACTAGATTATTAGCTCCATGAGAACAAGTATTCTTATCCTTCTTCTCCCCTAGTATCTCTCCAACGCTAATTAAAGTAGGTATTCAGTAACTTTTTTTTTTAATGAAGTAAATCATTCTCCCCTAAACTATCAGGTCTTTATTTCAAATCAAAGCCAAAGTCCACATATTTGCTTTATATTTATATACATTTATCTTCAGCATCTAAGACAGCACTGACTAAACTGATGCATTATTATTTTTGTTGACTGGCAGTGGGGATGATGAATGTACACTAGGTAAGTTATATCGTCTATTAACGATGGCTTAGATTAAACTGACTGAATATCAATATTTATTTTCATAGACATTACAGTAGTTGGAAAACTGTTGTCCTGTCACAATTCTTTAATCTCTCATTGCAAAGTCTTAATTATAGAAGTGTTACCAGAATCAAAATCTTCTCAAATTTAAATCATTCAATCTTTTACATAGTGCTTTCAGCTCAGTTTTCCTCACACACATTAGGATAAAATAAATATTGGTTTAAATCTTAGGATTTAAAAAGCATTATTTAAAAATACATTAAATACCTTGAAATGAGCTTCATTCATTTAAGTACATGGGGTTACCATACTAATCACTGCCTATCCAATACTTCTCAACATACTTTGAGCAACATACCCCTTTGAGAAGATAATGGCCTCTTCTTAGAAATGGCATATATGCATATATATTCAAATTCTTGCCTATCATTTCATGAGACCCAGAGCCTGCTAAAGCCTAAGGACATGCCATTAGGTTAATAATCAAATTAAGTAAAAATTACAATTAAAGTAGAATCTAGTAGAAGTCAGAAAAATAACATTATATATTCAATGTCATTCTGATCCCATCCTCTTGGCGTTGACATAGTTCTTTCCCTTATTTTATATTCTTTTGCTGTTTATGCAAATTAACTCCATCTGATACCTATATATCTGCTCATATAATGTGAAAATAAACTACCTGAATCACACATAATCAAGTGCTAGTTTACCTTCCAATATATTACATGCGTAAGAAAAGCTTTTATATATATCCGATATTTTCAAGATAGAAAATGATCTTATTTTTAGTAAATAATCATTTAATTTTTAGTAATAAATAAGCCAAAGGATCCCTATTCAACCATATGTAATTTGTTTCATCTTTTTGGCTGACAAAACTTTTGCTATACAAAGCAAGAATTTGTTACTAAGAAAATAAAGAAAAATACTGACGGAAAATCTGAAAAGAGAGAAATTAGCAAATTAATTACTAATGCTGACCTGCAGCTGCATCCGCAAGTTGTTTGAAAGGCACTACCTGTGACATTCTCTGACTCTTCAAAAATGAAAAGAAATGTCTCCACAGTGCACTAGCAACTGCAGCAAGGTGGCGCTCTTTAGCTGATAATGAAGACTGTGCAACCAGGTCCACATCGTCCCTTTGAAGTTCCTGACACAATTGTTGATGCATACTCCTAAAAGAAATAAAAATACAGCTAACACCCTTAACATGCTTACAAAAATCTTCCTAAAGTACATTTTGAGCTTTTTCCATTTATATCATATGAGAACCATTTTATTTAATTAAAACCTTTATGCCAAGACATTATGCATTTCCGGTTGTTTGTTGGATGAATGATGGCCTATTAAGCATCATAAAGTTAATGTTAATTACTAATGTCAACCATTAATTATATGCTTTTTAATATGTCAGATTCAAATGAAAAGAGGCAGTTTCAGAATGAAGGTCTGCATTTTGCTACTCACACGTGACAAGTAATTTTTACTTACAATCTAGACACAAGAACAATTTTTAAAACCATTTTCTCCTGAAGGCTTCAGGACATGGATGTACCAAGAGGAAGGTAAGTGTATCAGGCTTATGTGTGGTACTTTAAATTAAAATACTTTCCTTATTTGGAAGACACCGGCCTTGTGTAGTAGACAAAACTATGCTAGATACTATCTTAGTACTTTGGTCCCAAAAGATCCATAATCATTCTGACTTGGTAGGCAATGAACAACAATAAATAGCTACCCTTTATAAAATAATAAAACATAGTTCAATAATGCCTCAAATTTTGATTCATCAGTTACTCACCTTTGCTGATTAATTCAACTGAAAATTTAGATATCTCTAGATCTTAATAGATACACATGCAAGAAACTGAGGTTATCAAAGAGCGAAATAAGAGATCTTCTTAGTGATGTAGAATAGAAAGCATATATGCTGTGTACCCACTGATAATATGATTATTTAAAACTAAATGTACAACCATGCTGTTATTCCTGTTTCTGCTTATGTTACTGCCAGATCAACTGAGTAGACATAAATGCATTGATATCATCCTTACATATGCTTTTTTTTTCAATTATACAGAAAGTAGCAAAAAATAAGCAATGGAAATGAGGGAGAAGACTTCCCTTAACAGACATAGCATTCCTCTAAGAAAAATAATTAGTACTTTTAAAAAGATGTTTGATTTTTTAAACAGTTTAGGGGAAGTGGATACTTGAAAGAACTATACAAAACACAAAACTAGCACATGTATCTAAAGCAATTCCACAAAAAGATCAAACTAGTTATAAGACCACATCTTAGAACATTTCGCATAACTTCCCAAGAGCGAGTAATAATTCTAAGTATAAACTGTATAACATTAGGGCCTTACACCCCTTTACATTGGAATTCCTGGATAATTATGGGATGTTACTTAATAACTACCTGAAGTACTGAAAAAACAAGTACACAAGTACACAAATGGCTGAGGAAAGAGTATATAGTAAGCAGTTCTCATAAAAGCTAACCAAATATCTGCTTATGTCCTCTCTGTGTAAAAACCTGCCTGAGATGCTTTCAACTTGAACTAGTGGCTAGAGAACCATTTCAGGTCCTTTGTCTCAGAGTGAGATAAATAACAAACCACTAAAATCCATTTGACAACTAACTCAACTGCCTATATCAGCATAGCAAAGTTCAGAGTGCATTTCTACACAGTGGATCCAAGTAAAATAACACCACCAGTTCTACTACCCCTTATAGCTTTTCCAAAGTGTATTCATTTCAAAAGACAATAAATAACTTATGGTACTTGAGTAGGATGGATTTTGCTCACCATTTCTAAAGAAGCCATTTTATTTACTAACTAAAACCTGTTCCTTAGGAAGGAGTAACATTTCTGATCAACCTCTATGTATGTGCTAGAAATTCTTTAAATTAAAAATCCAAACTACTCTATGAGATGGGTATAATTAATCCTTTTTATCGATGATGAAGCTAACAGCTGGTAAGTTAAATATGTCCAAAGGTCACATGGCTAGAAAGGGCTAGTCCTGTCATTTGAATTTAAATCTGACTCTGAAGCCCACTTTTCTTTTACACACTAAGACACGCACTATTATGCACCTACAACAAACATAAGTTTTAAATGAATTAAACATTGATAAATTATCTTCTCTTTCTACTTAGGTTACAGAAATTTAATCCCAGCACTTGGGAGGCCAAGGCAAGCGGATCACTTGAGGCCAGGAATTCAAGACCAACCTGAACAACATGGTGAAATCTCATCTCTACTAAAAAAAAAAAAAAAAAAAATTAGCCAGGCATGGTGGTACAGGCTTGTAATTCCAACTACTTGGGAGGCTGAGGTAGGAGAATTGCTTGAACCCAGGAGGTGGAGGTTGCAGTGAGCTGAGATTGTGCCACTGCACTCCAACTTGGGTGACAGTGAGACTGTCTCAAAAAAAAAAAGGCCAGGTGTAGTGGCTCATGTCCGTAATCCCAGCATTTTGGGAGGCCGAGGCAGGCAGACCACAAGGTCAGGAAATAGAGACCATCCTGGCTAGCATAATGAAACTCATTCTCTACTAAAAAAAAAAAAAAAAAAAAAAAAAATTAGCTGGGCCTGGTGGCACCTGCCTGTAATTCCAGCTACTTGGGAGGCTGAAGGAGAATTGCTTGAACCTGGGAGGCAAAGGTTGCAGTGAGCCAAGATAGTGCTACTGCACTCCAGCTGGGCGACAGAGTGAGACTCCATCTCAAAAAAAAAAAAAAAAATTAGTTAGATAAAGAAATTTCAGAAAGCCTAAGAAAAGGGGCTGGAGAAGTCATATGTAGCTTTGTCTTTTAAAGGGCCAGGAGCAACACCAGAATTCTACTATTCAAAAAGACTGTAAGAAAAGATACTAGAAAACATGCATTCAAGGCAATAACGAGAAAGGTCAACAAATGTGCACCATCTTTGATCTCTCTAGAACAAAATGTTGAGGTACCAAGGAGTATACCACGGGGCTAATGTGGGGATATGATTCAAACTTCTGAATATATTAGGTTAAAAAAACAAAAGTCTGAGTGTGGTGGCTTACATCTGTAATCCCAACATTTTGGAAGGCCAACCCGGGTGGACTGCCTGAGCTCATGAGTTTGACACTGGCCTGGACAAAATGGTGAAACCCCATCTCTACTAAAAATAGAAAAAATTAGCTGGGCATGATGATGCGTGCCTGTAGTCCCAGCTTCTCAAGAGACTGAAGCTGGAGGATTGCTTGAACCCAGGAGGCAGAGGTTGCAGTGAGCTGAGATTGCACCACTGCACTCTAGCATGGGCAACAGTGAGACTCTGTCTCTAAAAAAAAAAAAAAAAAAAAGAAGAAGAATAAAAGAATATATAAAATCATTGTGAGGTAAAAAATTTAAAGCTATAGATTATATCCTCCAAGGCTGAGTTAAAATAGCAAAGACAAGTTTCAATTAAGGGTAAGATACTGACCCCAAACTACATTTGTTTTGGACACATGCATCCACTTAGTGTTTTTGGTTTTGAAAAAGAAGCTAATATCCCTGAATATGGAATATGGAGAATGCTTTCTGCTCAACAGTTTGAATGTTCAAGCTTTTTCAGTCTGGATAAGAAGAATCATTATCCACTATTTTAAAACACAACAAAGTTGATTAAAACCTTATAATAACAATTTATTTAAATATGAAGAAATCAGTGAGTGACAAATGCAGGAAATGCCAAGGGTGTACTGTAACGGAAGTCTGAAGAACCAAATTTCTGCACTATAGCCAAATAGCTAGAAATACCTCTTGCAGTCACAGGTCATTTTTAAAATCATGTTTTGATCAGAAAACTAATTACAAAGACTACTGAAAAATAAATTTATTATATTAGATGTGACCACTGCATATCTGTGATAGGTACATTTACAAAAATCCAAATATTGAAAGAAATTCTGTCACTAGAGGTAACAATGTTAAAGAAAACACAAAACATATTTGAAATATTATAAAGAATATAACATACTTCTAGGTGATGTTTTATGAGGCATTATCTACCTTCTTCAACAAACAGTAGAAATATGAAAGTAGATTTTTTGCATAAAAGGAAAAAATGTGATTTCTGGTCAGAAACTAAAAGACATAAGCCAAGGATGTAGGATCTCCCATTACTTGGCAATTGTTTTGAGTAAAGATAGATTTCATGTTAACATCAGTTTGGAAATATACACATGTGGAAATACCCACATGTAACCAGCTCTCTTACATTATAAAAGATACAATATGGTATGGCAGAAAATAAATTTGCTGAATGTCAAGTTATTCAAATTGCAGCTCTCATGGTAGAAATAACAGCCACATCCAGCATTTATTGGTATTTACTATGAGGCCAGCACCATGTAAAGTGTTTTATAAGCATTGCTTCTCATCCTATGAGGCAGACATTGTGAAGACCACATAAAATAACATTCTGAAAAGTTTTTAGAAGCCTATCATTACACTATATAAACACCCACACTTTCACATACTGATTATCCAGGTGTTTTTATGCTTCTATTTTAGCTCAGTTATCCTGCCTCCTTTGGCTTTCCTCATTATCTTCAAGTACTTTCCTGATTCTTTTATCTGACTGCTCTTTTGCCCCACTTTCCAATATTTCCTGTTTTTATCTGTGTTATTTCTTGCTTTGACTTCATATGTTCACGTATCCATTTTGCCCCCACCTCTCTACTCCCACACAGATACCACAGACAAACAAATTTATTGAGACATCTATCATATGAAAGGCATGGAACCCTGTATCTGAAACTTCTACCTACCAGCCTGGTCTCTGAGTTTCTGCTTCTCCCTAGTAACTTAGGCAGGCTTCTGCGAACACATACTAGACCGCTGTTTATAGGTTTTGCTTCTAATCTTGGCATACCATTTTTCTCCTGTAACTGTCATAGAATAACGTATGACATCCTATATATTACTTTCCCAGGATTCATAGTTGTATATAAATATTTCTAATTTATGATCCCTCAAAGTTTAAAGAAAATTAAAGTTGTCTATTGACGGACCTTGCATCACATGGAAAAAGTATAATATAATAAATGGGACCAACAAGGACTAACAGCAATAACTGAATTCCTCTTTTAACTCTACTGTAAACATGGCAACTTAAAAAAAAATCTGTATTAGTGAAAAATACAA